CACTTAGAGAAAGGAGCTGTAGGGGAGGAAAGGGTGATCAGAAACAAAGGACCAGAATCAGTAGAATTACATCAAAGAAGATAAGGCAACAGCTTTCAAAATAAATAAAATACCAGAGGACTTGAATTTTTGATAAGTAAACATTTAACAGTTGTAAGTGCCCTCTACTTAAAATTTCGTTACCTTTAAAAAAACACACAACTCAGAGATAAGAAGAAAAGAACTTCAACATCTCTTCAACTGTGAGGTCAAGTAATATTATACTTTTAAAATAAAATTGAGTAAGTATTAATTTTTAAAGCCCAATTGAGGAATAAAAGGAAAATTTTATTTTAGGTCCTACTTGGGGCCCAAAGAAATAAAAGGTAACTTCCACCAGATGAAAATGTGTTACAGAGATAAAACCTGGAATGTTTAATAGGCACAAAAGTGAAACAGCTGGCCAACAAGGAAGAAAGAATTAAATCTGCTATTTGCAAAGGTGACTCCCAACACTAACACAGCAGCAAGGAAATGAATTGTGCTGGCAGCCATCCTATCTTCTCAAAGGAAATACTCATTCTTCCAGAGAAGGATGGCTCTGTCCTAGAAACCTTTGGCAGGTGGAATAAATGAAAACAAAATGCTACCAAAGGAAAAAAAATTAAGCAGAAAAAAATTCAAGCATTGAGAAATACTCATATTTCAAGACAATGAAAATGAGGTTGTGTTGGTCAATCACTAATTTATCTTTGGTATGTAGTAATCATGTTTAATAACAAAATAAAGTGATTTGGGATTTCTCATGTATGATTTGATCAATTTGTCCTGAAACATTTTTAGGTCCAAAGTAAGATTTCTCATGGAAATACAATAAAAAAAACTTGGTAGTCTAACAAAAATTTATTATTAACAGTATGGTTTTTTTCCCTTCAAGTTACCAAATTCAGTAAAAGATTAGTTCTGAAGTCACTTTTTATAAACAATGTTCCTTTTGAAAAGATCATTTTCGTTTTGCCAGAAAAAAGGCACAGGCAATTCTGGGATTTGCATTTAGATTTTAAAGACTCTTTGTGTCTTATCCTTACTAAATACACAGATCTTCAACCAAATATTTAATTAGTGATGCAAATTTCAATGCTATTAACAGCTGGAAAAATGGAAACTGTGAAACTGACTGAGATATTTTCATTTTAACAGAAGGCTACAGTGACAAAGGTGAACATAGGAAGTCAGATTGTAAATACTAAATGCCACACTTAACTGGCTCTTGACAGTGAAATTGATTGGAAAGGTTATGTTGCAATACCAAGAAAGAAATAGTGCTATAATCATGCAGCATCAAACTCAAGAATATACTTTTATATTGCCAGAAATCAGAGTTGAAATAAATATGCTACTTGAAATATTTTCTGTATGATCACTATATGCAAATGAAGTGGTAAATACTATTCTTTCTCTATTGCAAAGGGAAACAAAAGGTTAAGAAAATGCCAGACAGAAAATGCTAGTAAGTAGTTACTGAATTCACCACATGCCCAGTGGTCTGCAATGATTTGGGGAGAAAAAAAAAAACATTATCCGTGACATCAAAATTTCAAGATTTTATAGCAGACTCACTGAGAGAGAAATTAGGGAAACAATGCCTTTTACAATAGCATCCCCAAAAATGAAATATCTAGGAATCACTCTAACAAAGGAAGCAAAAGACCTCTACACTGAAAACTACAGCACTCTGAAAAAGGAGATCAAAGAGGACATAAGAAAATGGAAAGACATCCCTTGTTCCTGGGTAGGAAGAAGCAATATAGTGAAAATGGCCATACTTCCAAAACTACTATATAGACTTAATGCAATGCTGATTGAAATTCCAACAATATACTTCACAAAACTAGAGAAAACAATCCAAAAATTCATTTGGAACCAGAAGAGACCTAGAATACCAAAAGCAAATCTAGGCAACAGAGACATGGCAGGGGGTATCACAATCCCCAACTTGAAACCATACTACAAAGCTACTGTGATAAAAACAGCATGGTACTGGCAAAGAAACAGACATAGAGCATAAGCTCCATGTGGTAGCCTGTTAGGAAGAATCCAAGACCCTGTTGCAAAAGTGAATCTATATTTTAACAATATCCCCAGGTGATGTGCACACCCTCTTGCATTTCAAAAGTGTGGCTTTACATACCTGGTGTTGAACGCATATACATTTATCACAAACTTTAGGTTGCTACAACTAAAAATAATTGAGTTTAAGTTTGTGGCCTCCACTGTCTAGTGAAGACTGTTTTAAAAAGTAAAACAAGTAAGTTTTTAGGTTTATAATTCATACATAATTTTATTGAATCCAGAAGTGTCATACATCATAAGGACATAAGATGATATACAGTCTAGTTGAAGACATATAAATTAATCAGGATATATTTAGATGCCTAATTTTACATGATCACATAATGCTAAGTGAAATAAATCATACTCAAGCTTAAATATTGCATGGTTTCTCTTTATGAGAAACACAAAATATACATAAAGAACAAAACAAAACATAGATAGTAGGAAGTAGGAAGATAGATCTTTTTCAGATGGGAGCAAAATATGGAAGGAAAGCAGCAGGAAGAGAAAGGAAGCAGATGGAAATAAAGGAATTAAGATGTATTATGTATGTGTACCAATTCCCCACAAGTAATGGGAACATTATGTACTAAGAAAGACAAAACAATGGGCTATAAGAACAAGACAGTTCAGGGCCGGGGATTTAGCTCAGTGGTTTTGTCGCCTGCTGCACAAGCGCAAGAGCCCAAGTTTGATCCCTGGCATCAAAAAAAAAAAAGAGAGAGAGAAGAAGGCAGTTCCATGTAAGCTTGAAATATCTCTTTGAGGGAGTAGAGGAAATCATAGAAAGTACCCTGAGAAAAGATGAGCATCCAAGACAAAGCCAGCAGAGGCTCTGAGGGCCTGGCAGAGGCACTTGATTCGGTGAGGTAGAGCTCTGGAAGTCACTGTGTTTGGGGGGTTTTTGTTTTTGTTTTTTTTGGTACCGGAGATCGAACTCGGGACCTTGCGCTTGTGAGGCAGGCAGCAGAACCACTGAGCTAAATCCCTAGCCTGTCACTGTGTTTTATAATCAATCACATGTTGATGGTATGAATCTTAGAAAGGTTAATAAAATAAAAATGTATATTATTGTAGAGATGAACATGAGTCAGAAAGACAGGCAAGAAGCTGAGGGTCAGAGCTGGGCTTGTAGATTTAGATCTCATCAGCCTGAAGGTGTGGCTAAGATCGCATGAGTGAACACACCACATACTAGGAGAAGCAGGTGTAGAGCCAAGAAAAGACATCCAGTTCAGTCAGCATTCCATAAACCACAATATGTTCCCAGGAGAACATTTCTCCCTTGTGAAAAAATAATGATTAACACCTGGTCCTTCCCCAGAAAGAGCCATCTTGGTTGTCTAAAATTGTCTAGAATTGCGAGAAAAAAAGGTGATTAAAAAAAAAAAAGACAAACAGGAACCAGAGGAGATACTGAAAGACAGAGAGCAAGAATACAGAAAGTTAAAAGCAGAGATAACTTAAAGCAGTGGCAGAGGCATTTGAATATCCAGGGAGAATGTGATACAAAATCATCTAAAACATTTTAGAGAATGAAGTCTATTAGTTTATGTGTTTAAAATCCCTAAACTGTTAAGTAATTTTTCAAGCTTTTAAACAGACAATCTAAACTTTGGAGGATGAGAAGACTCTAATGTAAAAGTTTTTGCTATAGCAAGGCTTGTTTGGAGAAGAAAAGTAAATACACTCATAGAATATATATTCATCGTTTGCCTTCTTTATGCTCCAAAAATTATCAAAACAGCACACATATCCAGGCAAAAGCCATAGGAAGTCGCTTACCGTCTTCTATAATTATGTAACTGCCAAATCCTTTCCCAAGTATAAGAAACTTCAAAGCATTCACAAAGAAGATAATTACCACCAGGCAAATTCAGTGGCTTAAAATATAAGCATAAGATTTGCTTACATTTACAAAGCTGTAGATTTTACTGCTCATATTTTACTTAATGGAGCTGATGTGGAATGGGGACAGACTTAAAGAACAGAATTACACACACACAAAACACACCTGTGCTAACATAAAATGTATTACCAGAAAAAAATGCATTAATCACACCTTAGCTTGCTGGAGGAAAAGATGTTATTTTGTTTATTCTTGAGTGATTTGTTTCTAAAGATTACATTTTTCACTTAGAATTTTAATTCTAGGATCAGTGAAATCAAATAAAATGTAGGTATACAGGCAATCCACATCCATTAAACATGTGAGAAGTTTTAAGCATTTTATCAGATATATATAGCCTGGAATTTAGCAAAGCATGTCCTAAAAGTAGCTTTTCTAGAATTGAGAATAATCTTTCTTGATTATCACAATCATTGAAAGTACATAATCCAAGCTGGACACAAACCTCCATAATTCTAGCATTCTGGGAGGCTGGGGTAGAAGTTCCAGCCCAGCCTGGGCAACTTAATGATGTAATGAAACCCTGTCTCAAAATAAAAAAAGGACTGGAGATGTAGTTCACTACAGAAGCCCTGGCATCAATCCCCAGTACTGAAAAGAAAATAATCCAAACAATTATTTAATATGTTATATTTATATTCATCATGCCAAGTTAACAATAATAAAATGGTTGGTACTTACTGAATGATTACATATCAACCACTATCTAAGTATTTTACATATATTTATCTCATATAGTCATCATAACTACTTTTGGACCTAGGTACAAACTATTATCTTCATTTTATAAATGAGCACAGTTAGGCTCAGAAAACTAAAAAATGAGCCCATCACTTACAAATAATAAAACTTAAGAATAAGTTAAAACTAAAATTGCTGTGACTTTTATAGATTTTTAGTAATGATATATATATATTTGATATGTCATGGGCCAGGATGCTGGTTTGTTATATGGTCTTTATGCAAATTCGAATAAAAATGAATAACTGTGACCTACCTTTATCAAAAATACCTGGCAATCACTGATATAATCATATTCTAGTCCATCAAAAGAATGATAATGCCGGTCCCCATATATTGTGCAGACTGCTGGGCATGGGTAATATGTACAATTGAACATTCCTCGTCGACAAATACTATTAAAAAATAACACGAGTTGTCTTATTAAGAAACTTGGCTTTAATTAGTGTTTTCCAAATGGGCCCCCAAAATGGAAGGTTTATATTCAAGAGCATTTACTAAACCAATAACCCTTACGAATTTTGCCAAGTCATTGTAATACTTATTACATTGAAAAATTAGGTATATAACTACCACCACATTTAAATATGCTATCCAACATCAAAGTCAAGCCTAGAATTTGTGACTGGGTTACATAGGAATTTGAAGATGGACTGAAAATTAAACACAGGTCTGCTAATAGCCAAAAGAGTATAGTATCATCTCCTGCATTTCAGGCAATTTAAAAACTTGTTCATGAGTTTAGAGTCTTTGTCCATATTTTAAGGAAATTACATTTCAACTTTTGGCTTATGCTATTGTTTTCACTCTTTTCCAAAAGGAAAACTTTTGTTAAATATGGTTTTTGTCTTCGAAACATTCAGCACTTTCTTATAAGCTTGGGATAAGTCTTCCAATTAAATATCCAAATTATCGTATTGCATTATTTTGTTCTAGCCCAAAGGAGTGTACATAAAAACAATTATGATCCCTCTTTTCATGGCAGTTATCCACCAACTCCTTACTGTCTTTAAAATCTTATTTACTGAGGCTTGATTTTGTTATTGCTGTTCAATCACATCAAGTAAATTCAACAGATAACTGACATTAATACAACTCCTTAGGAAAATTTTTGTGAAAGAAATAAACCTCATTACCAAGTATAACACGGTGTAGCAATCACTTCTCCTGAGAGGTGCTCCCAATCTTTCCAGATACATGGACAACTTTCAGGAACATAGCACTTTCCTTTGTGCTCTGCCATTCTTCCAAATGAAGAAGTAAAATATTGTTAGTATAAATTGCTAATCTCAGTTTTTCATAAGTAACTAATCTTGTCATATACAACACTATCTTCTGTATTTTCTGTAACTGTCTATGCCATAGTCTACATGACCTTTAGAGGGATGACTGTAGTCTTTTTCTTCTTTTATTAACACAATACTTTATATATCATGGTATTAAATAAATGCCAGACAAATGGTTATATTTCATTGTGTGTGTGTGTGTGTGTGTATGTGTGTGTGTTCATGTGGTACTGAGGACTGAACCTAGAGCTTTCACACCGATCCATTATCTCAATCCCTTTTTAAAATGTTTTATTTTGAAACAGAATATATTTCAAATTTTGATCTTTCTGTTATTCACACAATACAACTGAAATGAGACAGAAGCCTAAATTTCCAATAAAGTTAGTCATTCTGAAGAAAACATTTAAAGAGGAACTAAAGTCCCTGTCTTCACTATTTGCTACTAGAAAATCTATGGAATTTAATGATTTTTTTTTTTGGTACCAGGGATCAAACTAGGGACCTTGTGCTTGCAAGGCAGGCGGCGGAACCACTGAGCTAAATCCTGGCCCAATAATTTTTGATAAAGTAGTGAATTATGAAGTGGATAACATTTTCTGTTAGAGAATACAGAGAATAATCAAAACTTTTCAGTGCTCAAAGTTAAAATCATGAAAGCTTTGCTTAAGTGTTTGGAAGTAAAATCATAATGTGAACTTCTGAATGTTAATTTGCTTTGAAGTGTTATCTCCTTTAAAAATTACCTATTAAAAATATCTAAAGATATCTATGCATATAAAAGTTTAAATATACAAATCTCATTTTAATGTAAAATATAAATACAACTATTAATATATAAATTAAACTTATGCTATCAGAGAAGAATTAATTTTGTGCTATGAAAATATTTTGATAAGATTAAATGAATACATATTAATGTAATATTGTAATACTCTCAATAAAATATTTTGTCAATATTCTTACAATCTTAAATTCTTAAAATCAAAATATCTTTCATAAAAATAATTTTCATTATTTTAAGATAATAAAAATACATGGCTACCAAAAATAGATAAATGTATAGTTTTTATGACTTTTCTTTAAAAGGTAATAATTCGATGTTATAAAAATTAACCTAGAGCTGGGTTGTAGCTCAGGGATAGAGTGCTTGCTTAGCTTGTGTGAGGCCTTGGCTTTGATAACCAGCACCTAAAATTTAAAAAAATAAAATAAAATCTGGAATCCTGAATCTGTGCCTACTCTCTCAAATAGAAATAATCACGTATGTTCCTTTAGTGTTCTGCTTTCTTCTCAGAGGACTATGCTTCCTTATCCATGTATATGCTTCCCACTAGACTTTAAACTCCAATTTATTGCTATCTCAATGCCTAGCGCACTAAAGACACTCAGTTGTCAAGTAAAAGTTAATAAAGAAACTTATGTATATAGGTGATGCATTTTTTCATTAGATTTCTTTCTTACAGAACAACAGTGCCGTAGATTCCATAGTCTATTATGTCAACTCTCTCAAACTTCTTGTCCCTTCCATTGCCCTTTGAATCTTTCTCCTTTCTAGAAAACACTTCTCCTGAAGTCTCAGTTTAGTGCAATCTCTTCAGTGCAAATTTTTGTCTTCCCCAACTCTCCCACATGTTCCTTATACTTAGCAATTTGTAAAAATTTTTATTAAAAGATGCAACACAATAAACTAAATACTTGATTAAATTTCATATGGTGATATAAAGACCAATAACAAAAACCTATTTTTGACTATTTAGTATATATGTGTATTAGTACCTCCACCCCCAGTCTCATAGCTTCACATAGCACTCCAAACATGAGGTGTGAATCCCACAAGTCCTATATATCTGGCCAATTTTACCTAGTGATTTTAAGTGTTATGCTGACTTACAAGTTTTTCATAACTAGTCAAAAACTGGAAGAAAGAAGAGGAGAGCTATAAATCACTCTAAATTAATTGCTCTTAGTAGCTTTGTGTAGTAGGATATTGTTATGGTTTAAATCTAGAATGTCCCCCCAAAGGCTCCCGTGTTCAGAGGTCAAGATTTCAGAGGTAACTGGGTCTTGGGGAAGCCATACTCATCTGTGGAGTTCATGGCCGAACATGCTGTTAAAAGGTGGGAGCTGGTCTTCAGAACACAACCCAGAAGGGTACATCTCCCTCCCCTCTCTCTGCTTCCTGACTGCTAGGAAATGAGCAGCCATCCTCTGCCACACCCTTCCCACTCCTGTCTGCCCTGGTCCCAGCTGACTATGGACTGAAACCTCTAAAACTATGAGCCAAAATAACATCTCCTCCTTTAAGTTGTGAGTGTTGGGCAACAAGAAACTAAGACATGTATGTACTAAGCATTCACTGAGCACCTACCATATAATTGATGAATTGCACATGCTCAGCCATCCATGAAGTAAATATCATTATGTCCAGTTTAAAAATGGGAACTTAATACTCCGAGTAAGTAATTTGCCCTGAGGTTCTGTAACTAATAAGGAAGACTAACATTTGAAGCCACTTTTTATCTGACTCTTTTCATTACAGTATTTTCCATTTCTTCAGTCCACAGTGATTTCTCAACTAGAGTTATGTGGTCCTTTTATAGTCAATGAACGGCTGGCATTTTCAGGAGCCCCATGAAAACAAGGGATACTAGGCTATTGTCCCAAAGCGAGCCAGATAAGATCACATGGAAGACAAGGCAAATCACATTACCATAAACAACTTTATAATAGGATGTTCTAGTAACAAAATTATTTCTATATCAATCAGAGACTCCTATGTCATCTCTAACTATATTTCAATATAATCAGAAATGGATAAAAAATTCTTTTGTTTTTTTCTAATGATACTTATCTAATAAATAACCATTGTCTAAAAGTCAAAGATTATAGTAAATAGATTGCTTAAAAATAATAGCATCAAGCACACTATATGAAAAAAAATTAGGATATGGCTTTAATCAGGCATGTATCCCTAAGAGTCAAAATTAAATCAAGCAATGTTGTCAGCTGAAATTATTTTACTATAATAAAAGTTTTAGTTTCCTTGTTCTTGATACTAAAATGTCTTCTTTGCTCATCTATTCTTTGGCCTGATAGCTACCTGTCTTTATTTTCCCAAGGGTAGGCATTTGTTCTTTTGTGACCTCCTTTTCTCGCCCTCCTATGCCTTTCCCTTTAAAGAGATTAATACCAGTCCCAAGTTACTTGTCTCTTCAACCTATTCCAGAAGGGGTCATTTAGACAAATGTGACTCTCCTGGGAAACAAACCACAAGACCTCTCTATTCTTTGCTCATAGTTTATATGAGCTGATCCCAGGAATCTTTTTGTGTGAACATGTTGATCAAGGAAGAATGGGTAACCTGTTTGCCTGAGATGGCCCTCTCCCTGTGCGCTGATTCTATTCATTACCAGATGAACAAGGGCCTGGGAGGCCAGATTAGGTGTGTGCCCACAGGAAGTTAATAGCTACCAGATTCTGTGATTGGCTTTCACATGACTGAGTATTTCTGAAAATGAAGGAAAGGTATGAAGAGTCGATAGGCTGTCATAAAATAGGGAAGTGTATTTACTGAGTACAACCCCCACACACACATACCACTTCTCACATTGCCTATTTAAGTTTTTTTTAATTGCAGAAACACCACTCAACTAACAGTGGCAGAGCACTGGCATATCTGAACCCAATGCTCCCACTCTTAACCCTTCTACTACGCAGTTTCAATACATTGCTTTCTGTAACATCTATAAGATAAAGCAGCGAGTGTCACTCTTAGAACTTAATACCAACCAGAGTAACTGCAGCAACAGAATACACAAAAGGTACGCACTGAAGAGCGTTTTGAACAAGGACTGACTAATTGTATCACTTTTCTAAAACTGCAACTGAATCGGAAAGAAATCCCAACTTCCTCCTGAAATAAGCTCTCTCCCCAATTCAGCACATTATTTTCACAACGTTGCACAATGTTGCATGAGTGGTAAAATAATTACAAGTCTTCCAGCTACCAACCTAAAGTAAGCCACAACAACAATTTTGGCTATTTCTGTAAATAATACTTTAAGAGCACTTCTGCTTTCTGTCAAATCTTGAACGGCCTGTGTTATCAAGAAAGAGAGACTCACCCTGGTGCACAAACACAGCCACTTATGCAGGGTGAAGATGGGGTGCAGGTGAAGTTCATGGCCAGGTTTGCACATGTAGTTTCACAATTTACACCCCCAGCTGGTAATTCAGGGTCAGGAAACCTGCAGTCAAAATATTGCTTTCCTTCTGGGCAGGCATGAACTTCAAAGATAAAACACAGATGAAAGACCTTTAAAAGTTCATATTTGTTCCATAGACAAAATAATCTATGGACATGCATTTGTCATCAAAATAAAATTCACCATAGAATATTTCACCAGTCATGATTAGATGATACTCTTATTCCATAACTTTGAGTTGATGAGTTTGCAAACATTCCCTAGCCAGATACCATTTAATCATCAAAGTCCTGGAGTTTGAAAACTTCAGTTGCCTTTCATAAGGCAGTAACTAGTACATCATTTACTGAGGTCAAAAAACAAATGCATAGTATAAATTTTTGAGGGCTGCAAATGTAGTATATATTTAACATTTTATACAGCCACAATGAACATGCTTCTAGATCTTGCTTCACCTGTGAGTCAATGTTTTCACGATGCTGTAGAAATATACTCACGATACCGCAGAAGTGCAGAAGTGAACATAGCACATGCAGCACTGGCAAATAGAGAGCACTTGGGGAATCAAAATAAGGTCTCTTATGTGGGAACAAAGAGGTTGTGTCTTGAGGATTCAGGGTAAGAAAGCTAGCCACCTAAACATTTCTTTAACCATGGGCCAACCCGAAGTAAATGAAGCAGAGCAGGGATAAACCATAGCTACTGAATATGGTTATGATAAACGAACATAGCCTGTGAAGATGTCCTACACTAGCCTGCATCCTCAGAAAGTAAATCTAGGGCATATAAATGAAACTTAGCTTATCATAATATGCCTGATCTTTCAAACAAATAGCAAAGCAATAGATCACAATTTGTTTTACCATCTTAACTCTTCCTGTCCAATAAAATGAATAAAGGTGCTATTATTTGCTAAGAATTTCTCTATAGACAATGAGAATTGGAGGCTCTTAATATGAGAAAATCATGAATATACAATATTCCCTAATACATAAGGTCTGAGGAAAGATATTTTAGTGTAAAAGGACTTCTAAGAAGAGAAGACAGTAAATTTCTTTTCATAGGCCATTTTTAATTGACTACTACTAGTCCTGAGGAACCAGCACCACTGACATCACCTTGACCATCTAAAGAAATGGAGGCTCTCAGGCATCGCCCCTGATCTACTGAATCAGAATAAAAAAATCTTCATTTTAACAAGATTCCCGGGTGACTGTATGCACATTAAAATCTAAGAGGTGCTGGTCTAGAGTAGTTTCCCAGTTTCTGATCCACAAATGGGTTATAACAGGTGTCTAAATCATGTTCCCAAAACCCTCAGGCCGACTGAGGTGGTACTGAGGGAGACAGAATCCCTGAGCTGATTATGATTAGCTTTGCCCTTAGGCAGCCATATATGCTCCCCCAGACTGTTCCACAAATATTCTAATTCTTAATGTGAAAAAAATTAGGAAGCAGAGGAGCACTAGAGGAACACTCCCAAGGTCACGTCCATGCGCACTGGCAGGAAGGTCTGCGGTGCACTGGTCATCCCTGCCGGAAATCTCCAGGAAGCAATAGAGCTGCATTCTCCTTGAGGCAACACTGATCTGTGACTCACCAGGAGAGGGTGTTGCTAATTTATCACATTTCACAGTCCCATTTGAACATTGGCTGGAAATAAAGAAATAGTTAATTTACAAACTCAAACCTTACTTTTTTTCTGTATCTCAACAACCATCTAACGTAAAAAATTGAGTACATATACAAATGGTACAATTTTCCCTACAAAACATTTTACAAATAAATTATTGCCTTAGGTCCAACTTGAAGAGAGCTATTTTCAGTTTAACCTATTTTTATAAAATACCTATACATATGGGCCATGGTGAGAGGTCTGGGGATGGAAAAAGAAAAATTAAAATTAATAGTCTTGACTGAAGTGTTTATACTCTAGTAAAAGTCACGTAAAATAATTTGTGCAATGTGACACACACAACACAGAAATACACTTAAGAGGTAGACAGAAAACATTTTAAAACTGTTGCCAACTGACATCATGGAAATTAAAGTGATAAGTCTGAACAGTTTTGAAGAACGCATGAAGGTTATAACACGGATATGGTAGGAAGGTTCCAACACTCATTGGAAACAAACCATGAAGGAGCCAAACAGTGGTCTGAGACTGTGCAAGGTGAGGATTGCAAGTGCAGCGGAGGCAAGGCCTGCTGAGATGCCAGGATTTTACCTCAGAAATGAGCCATTGAAGACCTTAAACAGAGAAGTAATATGATTGGTTTGGGTTTTAGGAAAATTTTCTGACAGCAGTGCTGGAGACAGAGTACAGTCAGATTTTCTTGCAATCTGGGTTCTAAGTCAAGGCAGAAAGCAAAAACAGCATACAGGCAAATCAACTTCGAAAATCCCTTAAGAAAATAGCTCAAAAGGAACAGTACACCAGTTTTCAACAACCCAACAGTTTCCTTTCATTTTTAGAACAGGTCCTGTGTTCTATATTTAAGAGCCACAGGACATGAAAAACCTATGTATGTGTGATTTAACAGTAGAATGACATTCAGATGTGGGACTTACACTGTGAATGGCATAGATAAACTGAGGCAGACCGGTCTCAGATCATATGCCGTATCTTGGACTGTATCATACAAACCCCCTTGGGACATAGGCCTTTTGAAAGGAATACAAATGACATCACTGTACTAATTGAATTTTTATCATCACATGGACAGATGGATTTTTTTGATATGCTTACATAAATATATTCAATTATATCAAATTTAAGAAAGATATGATAAATTGTCAGAGAGGAAGTGGGGCAAGACTAGAGAACAGAGCACCAGAGCTGCAGTTCAAATATGGTTTGCCCTTCTAAAACTCATTTGAAGCTGGTCCCTAATATGGTAGTGTTAGGAGACAGGGTCTAGGAGGTGATTAGGTCAGAGGGATAATATCCTTGGAAGGGATTGATGCTTGATCCACCAGGAAGGACTTCTCAGTCTCTCAGAATTTGGTTGTTTATTACAAAAGTGGGTTGCTATAGGCAAGTTTAGATTCCTTGGCTTGCTCTCTTGCTTCCTAACTCATCATGTCTGTCTGTTTCTCTCCCTCTACCTCTCCCTCTCCCTCTCCTCTTCCCTTTCCCTGCTCCCCTTTCTCCATCTCTGGGCATCATGCTCTTGGAACTGAGTAAAATATATACCAACACAAAACAAAGATGATTTACAAAAATACGTGGACAAAAAATGAGAGTCATTGCCAAAGCAATAGGATGGAAAAGAAGGAATGGACTTCAACTCCATGCAGAAAGTAGAATCAAGTAAAATACCAAGTTCCTAGAAATTTGATGGCTAGGTGTGTTGAGCAGGAAAAGAGAGTCAAAAATGACTCTCAGATTTCTGGCTTGGGAAACTATGGGGGTGGAGAAGAGATAGAGATAGTGATAAAGGTAAAATGAGTATGAGTGATACTCTGCTGTGAATACAAACTAAGCTGCTAAGCAAGGTCTGTAGAAAAGCACTGCAGAGCCAGAACCCCTGGGATGAAATCTCAGCTTGATTATCACACTGCTTGGCCACCTGTGCCTCATTTTCCTCATGTATGAACTGAAATAAAGCAACAGTACCTATCTCCCAGAGTCATGGTGATAACTATTTCCATGACAAATAAAACACACTAAGAAGGGTGTCAAGACAATAGAAGGTACACAGTAATGATGACATCATTGTTGTTATTATTATTATCAAAATTCTATGATTATCTGTAGGCACCTGTTACGCAACCAAAGGAGGAAGGTAAGGAGTTGAAAACAGATAAGGTGTCCTGCTGCATGAACGCTTTCACATTTTTACAGGCAGGTTACAACTGGAATGAGTGTTATCTTATGAATGGTATCACACCAGGTTAGATGTCCCTGGGGAGGAGATACACTTACTCCCTGTATGTGCCATTTTTCAAATCGATTTTGGAATTGCTTTTTTCTGCCTGTAGGTGAACCATGAAACTAAAAGCCATTGGTAACATACAGTATTTGAACACCCACATCACCCCTAATTTCTATCTAAGAACTAACATTAATTAAAGGACTTTTGTTTCACTGTGTCACACTTACAGAATCTTTTTCTGCAGTTAGGAGTTCAAGATGCAGGCTTTCCATAATGAAGAATAATATGTGTATGCATGTATGTTTTATTCCATATGTAAATATGGTATATATACATATATGGCTGCAACAATTAAAAGTTTATATCCTATTTATTTTTACAGAACTTATATTTCAACTTAAGGTTTTATTTAGGAAATTATATTAGTACACATGTCATTTGTCAGATACACTCTCCTTCACGGAAACCTACCATAAGCCCAAGGGTGTAGGGATAAGCTCCCCAGGCTGATAAACGCTGCCCCTGTAATGACACCGGCAGTGATATCTGTAAGGAAAGTAAGAAGAAGTAAATGAAATAGGATAGAATTTTTTTCAAAAGTCACTAAAATGTGAGTACATTCTATCCTCTGTATCATTCACTGTAAGGCACACCCTTGAGTTGTCATTACTCTATGAACCTAAATGCAGCACTGTTATACAAATGGCACAAATTGTTTCAATGCTAAGTCTTATGGAGCTTCAAACTGTATTTTTTGAAATCCAATTTTAGACAAGATTTCTGTGACAAGAATAATCACAGAATATATTCCAGAAAAACACAACTGATACACGATTTTGTCCTTTGTATAAAAAATGTCTTTAGCTCATGTGAGAATTGAGAAAATTTTTAGTGCTAACAGACATTACATCCTGTTACTGAAACCTGTCACATGACATTCTATCATTGATTGATTTGGATGTGGTAAAAACAACCAGAAATACACGTCATTGTCATCCATCATATTCCTTAGTTCTTTTATAGCTATTTGGGAATATATACAGCATTAAGAAAAGGAAAAATGGAAAAAGCATTAAGGAATAGTAAGTAAACAAGCAAAAAAAGCCACTTAACCTGTAAGAAGAAGAAGAGATTAAAAACTACGCTGTCAACCTATTTCTGTGACTTACACTGGCACACAAAAGTTAAGTGTTTCCTCGTAGAATTTGCCTTCAGGACAGTTACAGCCTTCAGCACAGTCATCGTTACACTGCTCTGGGGCCGAGAGAGAAGTGCAGGAGCGGTGGCAAAACGAGGCACAGCGGTGATACAGCATGCCCTTCTGGCACACCACAGCTAAGGGCAGAGGAGAATCACTGGAGAAAGACTCCCCACCACGCAGGCCATCATAGGCTCACTTAGACACACATGGCAGATACAAACCATGAAGCGAAAGCCATTCCATACCAATAACCACAAAATATCACAGCATTCTGTAGCACAAATATACAATTCCTGACCTCAGTGGGGTATAACAAGCAAATAAAACTATTTTAAAATCTTTTAACTGACATTCCTTCACATTTGTAAAAGCCCGTACTATAATTTTTAATATATAAAGTCTACTTTCTGCCGTTATATTTTAAATCTATTTACTGCTATCCTGTCATAACCACCTTTACAGCATTCTTTAAACCGAAGTAAACTTTTAATCTTCTACAACTAACTAAACTACAGCTAACTAAATCTTCTACAGCTGACTAAAATTTTATTTTGTTGATCAATATTCATAGTTTTCATTTTTTGTTTTCTTCATCGTGTTTTTCTAAACCCTGCAATTTCTCTTTAGACAAACTGACTGATTATGGTAGACAAACTAAATAATTTAAAAACATACTGTACAAATAAATGACTAGAAAATGTAAATAAAACATAACTGACGTTCTTCTAAATACATAATTAACCCTGTGAGAATAAAATAAGAGGAATTCCCCAGATGCTAGAAGCAAGGAAGAAAATAAAATGCGGAACTTTGAGTGAAGGAGGGGTGGATCCATCACAGCAGTCTTGGACCTTGGATTTCACCCATGAGGGAAGGAAAACAAAACTTGGTCCTTTACAGAGCGAGGAATAAAAAGACCCTTATTCAAATGCTCACACAGCAACACTCAGTTGAAAGGGAAGACTCAAGCAGGGGTCAGAAAATCTTTTCTGTAAGGACCCAAACTTCAAATATTTTTAACTCTGCAAGCCATAGTCTCTGCCACAAGTAATCATCTGCCCTTGTAGCTCAGAAGTAGCCAGACAATATGTGAACAAATGAGCATGACTGTTTTCCAAAAAACTTTATTTTCAAAACCACAGGGGGTCCAAAGGTTGTAGTTTGCCAAATCCTGGACAAACGAAATCTGTTCACAATACAGAAAGAAGCCACGAAAATTTCTCTAACTGGTGGTCTGTGACACCACTAAGAAATCACAACTCTAGATTTACTTTCTGTATAGATATGCTATATAAGTTTATATTACTTTTATATTTACATTACTTTTGTCTTAGAAAGCCAAAGCTGAGTAATTACCATAAATACTTGCCACTGACAACCTGGAGCAACTAGAAAAATCTTTCTGAAACCAGTGTGGGAGTGGACAGGTAGACAGAGAAGTACCCCCAAATCTGGGTGACAAACAATTTTAAATGGGGGGAGGGGATTTCATAAAGATTAGATAATTAAAATTGTAATATGCACAGGAAATATCTATTATAAGTGAGACCGGCAGATATTTTGGACTGTAATCATAAAGATTAGAGCCCAAGAACTTGGAATAATTGCCTACTACATAACACATCTATTTAACTACAGGTCAACTGCATCACTGTATCACATAACACTTTTCTAAATATTCCAATGTTTGGTATGATATTTTCATGAGATGAATACTTTCAAACTTTTCTAATTATTTCTGATGCATATTTCAAAACATATAATTACATTTTAATTTTGTTTATAACAAAAATAATCAACTTATTGACCTTACCCAATATTATCTCTTAACTTTAGAAACAAAACTAGTCAAAATTTATTGGTCTTATCTAATACATCTCCAATTTTAAGAAACTAGATATTTCATTTATTTTTCATCTTCGTGTGCTATAAGAATTTCAAATAACTTATATGCAATTTTGACCTCTTACTTAAAAATAAAAGCAGTAAATTCGATTCCCAGTACCGGGAAAAAATAAAATAAAAGCACTAATAATTACAAATACAAACATCTCTAAATCTGATAGTCTACCTGTGTAATAATACTCACCACAGAATGAAATCTGGGCTCTAAAATCAATGGGGACACCACGCTGACCACAAAGGTAGGCATAGTGGGCAAGAGCATTGCATAGACAGGCACTTCCACACTTGCATGCATCATGGCGGCATAGCTGATAGTACAGCCCGGGGCTAATGTAAACGTGGCAAGAAGCAAAGAGCTCCTGGTGGATGACATCACAGTGTGCTGCATAGCCAACTAACAAACAGAGAGCCCCATTAGCATTTCATTTACTAGTTCAGATCTAGTCCTACCTATCAAGTTCCAGAACTATTCAAGCATCTTGCTTTCCTAGGAATGTACCAGGTTGTACATTACTTTAAATGAGAGTCAATGTGTTCAGCTTATAGTTTTTTTCTTTTTCTGTTTACAATTTTGGTAATACTGGTAACAACAATTCCTCCATGTTCAATAATCTTTCAGCCAAAATGCAACAATAAATAAGAAAATGTAGTGTACCTGAATAGCATGGGTAACAAAAACATTGATAGAAGCAGTAGCCTAACTCATTCACTGCCTGAGAATTGGGGAATATCAGGAGACATATCTCCAGACATCCACACATAATAAAAGTGGTTCCAGATTATGGCAACTCTGAAGATTACACCATTACTGATGATAGATTTGGAATCACTGCATTTCAATAAAGGCTCTGAGTTGAATGGTAATTGGCAGATGCCACACAGTCATTTAACTCGATGTATGCACAGTGCAGTGTACAATCTCTGGCAAGTAGAACTCAATCATGTTTTATAGACGAATCCACAAATACAAGAATAAATGAATAGGAATAGAAATTAAAGATTAGAACACATGTTAAAGCCCATAAGACATAGCTATCGTACCATTTAGAGACAGATCTGTGAAATCACATCTTGAAATTTGTTATTTTCCTTGAGAATAACCACTCGGATATTATCCTTTACAGAATCAACAAAACTAATTGACAAAATAATGTAGATGCCACCTTTCTGAAAAAGGATTGGCCCATGGTTTCTTGATGCAGTGAACTTATGTTGTTACTCACAGATTAAAATGCATCAACCTTTGCATTATCATTGTCTTTGCAAGGCCAAATAAGCTACTGGACAACAGAGATTTTTCCACTACCAAAGAATCATGCTGAACTTGTAAGTACATTTTTAGTAGTAAGGAAGCCCATTAGTTGCCTATGATATTGTTTGCTTTGGACATACATATGTATATGAAAACAAATGACATAGGCTTAGCAGTATACTGTTAGTGTACATATTCCAAACCCTAAGAATCCTGAAAGAGCAATACGATTTATCAGTGAGATCATTATGGTGTGTCCTAAGTATTTGTAGGCCAAAGCATATTTTCATTGACATTAAATGAAGTGTAACTCAAGAAGATCATTATGAAAAACAATGGGCTTCAGAATCAAGACCAGAATTATTGGCTTTTGTCTATTTACTTTCTTTATTTGGGGATGAAGAAAATGACACTTCATGACAAAGATAAAGAAAAATGATATCTAAAGTACACATGATCGCATACACCAAATATGGAGAGAAAAGTGACAGAAAATACAGCGAAATGACATGTAATAAAGGAAATAACTAAAGCAACTAGAAAATAATGAATTTATCAATTAAATTCTACTAAAACTTTTACATGTCATTAAATTTTTTTTAAAATAAGGTTGCTCTGATAGCAAGGAAAAAAAATCAAGACAGTAAGAAACTAAATAAGATTAGTTGGAGGAAGAATGGATTAGTGAAAAGTTGGGGGCAGAATAAAGTTTTGTTAAATGGGAACGAGATTAAAAGGAGTAGATCACAGAGGCCAAATCTCTGTCCCAGCCCTCTTCAGATAGGAAAAATCAGTGAAATTAACAATCTTCTTCAAGTTTAAAAGCTTTAAATTTTTAAAAAAGATATTGAAAGATTATTTTATGTTCTTTGCAGTACACCAAAACTATTTTTTAAAGTTAATAATTTAAAAATACATGACAATCAACAGAACATTTTCACATGACAGTTACCAAAGCAGAGATTGTACATGGATATTCAAATAATATTAGCAATGTACAAAAATTAACTACATAAAAAGTAAACTAGCCAAAATAGTTACAAAAATATCTAATCACACACATTACTTTTCTTCCACAAAGCAATTTTACAAAAAAGAAAAGTCTTATTGAGAAAAACGATGTTTAAGATGGCTTGCTGTGGCATTAAAGAAAAAGCGCACCAAAACCAAAACTTTTTTGACTTGGAGCTCCACAGCCGTTGCAAACAGAACTGTGGAGTGCAAGCATTTCAATCTGTTGCCTGGTGAATTGCACAAAGCCATCCTTGGGTGACCAGCTTCCTACTTTTAAAGATATAATATGTGTTGTGAGTGAAAACTCATATCAGGATGGTAGTAAGTAGAAAAAGCACTTGTGTTATCATACACTGGAGCTGGGGTCAAACACCCTAGAGCTATAATAGCATTATTACAGTATTTCCAGAGACTTTCCTTTAGTGCTTACTCAATCTGGAAGTTCCAAAATGCTAGCTCACATTTGAGAAGAAGGAATTTCTAAACACGTAAAATAAGTAAATTTATGAATGCTAAGCAGTAGATAACATAGTCATTTTCCATTCTTTTCAACAGCCTAGAGTACATAAAAAAGCACAATATTAAACAAAAGTACATAAGGAATGACATTGATTTTGTCATAATAAGATAAATCAGAATTTAAAGTCTCTATATAATTTTATTAAATTACAGTATTATGTGGAACATTTTTCACTAGTTTCCACGTATAAGGGAAGACTTACTATTTTGCTGATTGATGTTACATGGGTCCACCACTGGGACATGGACAGGTGCAAAACAAGTGGAGGAAACTCTCCATGCATTGGAGTGAAGTTGTGGAGTTCCTTCTATCATGCCTGATGGAGAACTAGAAAGCAAAAAAAATGTTCATCTGAATCTCTCTCATTCTACTTGTTCATACTTCTCAAATATATATATATGAATACTGTTTTTCTTAATATACAAAAATATCTTAGAGTTTAAAAGTTTCTACCATTTTAAGAATTAACAATGGTATAGCTTCCTTTTATTGAAAGTTTACATGTGTCAAATTGTGGTCACCCATGCATGTATTTAATCTCAGCCTTATGAGGAAAAAAATCATCATACCCATTTTACAGAGAAAGCAAAGCAGAACCTCAGAAAAGTATTAAATCTCATTAAATGAATAAGTGGCAAAGCCAAGATCCAAACCTAGTTCTCACTGAGTTAACTAAACATGACTCACTCAAATAAAAATTTTATGTGTCTTCTTTAGGGCACAAGTGGAGACATAGGTGTGGGTAATTCATATGATTCTTTTCAAGCTAAAAACAAATACCCCAAGCAATCCATGTTTTTGGTTTATTATATCAATTTCCTTTAGGCTTCTATCATGAAATGAACAAGCAAACCAAATGAAAATTGGAAGAAAAGTTTGTATAAAAGGACCATTCATCCACGTTTGCTCACATTTTTAGCTTCCTCAGAAAATCAAAATGGGAGAGAAACATATACTCCAAAATCAGACTTAGAAATCACAACTGGTGCTTATGAACCAAATTTGCAATCCCACTTGCAACAGCTAACATTAACTAAGAGACAATCCTTGTAAGACTTTGTACCAGACATGGTCAAAACTACTTATACAAAAGCAAGGTGGGCTGCATCTCCTGCAGGAAGCTTTTGAGCGTACCATGAATCCTGACTGTGTTAATTACTACAACATGGTCCGGTAGAAGAGCAGTGTTTACCTCAGTTCTCAACAGTATTTTAAAAGATTACTCTGGCAACAATTTAGCCTGGTCACCCCCAATTCTATGGAGCTTCTCACCACAATAGTAATAGGAAAGACGGATGTGTACAAGCCATTCCATGATACTCAACCCTTGTAAACACCTCTTGCCTCCTTTTCCTATTCCTAAATATCAAACCATGGTACAATTATAAGAAATACCTAATGCAAAATCTTGTTTTGTTCAAATGAAGACACTGGCACTCAAAGAAACTATGTAAGCTGCACTGGCTTTTTCTTCTCATCCTGTCCCTTCCCTTTCTCCTTCTCCCCTCCCAAGGAAAACAAAACAAGCAGGGGTGATGAATGTAGTCAGCATTCCCAGGAGGAACTGACCTACGGGCTGGCTCTATTATTTCATTTAGTCTACTTAAAACAATATTTTTTTAATTCAGAGCCCTAATGTAGATCCATTTACTAATTTCATTTTATAACATAACCTTTCAGCTCACCATACTTGGCCTACTATCACAGGACATATAAAATACATTTTGAATTAATATTTTCCATTACACTAAGTTTACAGATTGGCATTAACCTTTGAGAAGAAAGGAATTTTAACTACTTAAATTGGAAAGCTAAACAATGTTGGAAAGATACCCCTGACTCTGAAATATTATCCTGCACCCTTATCATGCCTGACTATTTATGCATGGAGGAAACTGGTGCCTTAGAAAGTGGCAGACAGATCTGCCATCTGTTAAACATTCACTGCTAACCCATTCTGACAAACAAGACAGAAAAAGTGGGCTTAATGTCTTTTCTGAATATCTTAGCCAAGCCTTTAACACAGTTTCTGTTTTGCAAGAGTGATAAAAGACAGCAATATTCTGACCTCCAAGTAAACACAATTTTTTTTAATTCCAAGAGCAAATTAATCACACAAGAGACAAAAGAAATTCTCTTTTTAACCTTTTTAATTTTAAATGCCAGTTCTCCTAACCTATCCAAATTCTCTTCTTGATGCCATATAAAAGTTCTACTCAATTCAGTTTGACCACTGTATACCAGATTCCTATAAATACAAGGACAAAAATATGGTCTTTACTCTCATGGTCTGTGCAGTTTTTTTGTGGAAACCAAGCAGATAAATTATGAATTTCCATAGATGCCAGAGTTAGAATTAACATTGTCTAGTGGAATATAACCTAGCTTTTTGAAACAATAATGTCTGAGTTGGGTTAAACAATAAACAAGAGTTCATGAAAACGTTTAGGAGGAGGAAGAACCCCAAGCAGAAAGAAGAATATGTGTAAAAGTGGGGTTTTTAACGATATTTCAGGAACAACTCTTCAGTGAAATGTCGCCTAGCAGTCCAGCCTACAATGACCCTCTCTAAACTCCTGCTGTTCCCAGCCACAACCACAAAGCAGAACACTTAACTTCTGAAAACTTACCTCTGGATTTTTAAGAGTGTTATTACCTGATACCTTACTTAGCACTAAATATTTTCTTTTAATAATCTTTTTATTAAGGTATTGACAAAACTGTATATATTCATTGCATACAATGAAATGTTTAAGGACACACATACTCCCAATGAAGTGGTTAAACCAAGCTAATAAATATAGCTATCATCTCACATTCTTATCATTTTTGTGTGAGAACATTTAAGATCTATTCTTTTGGCATTTTTCAAATACAGAATATATTAACTCTAGGCACAGCTGTACACAGTAGATCTCCAGAATTTCATATCGTCTCACTGAAACTTTGACCAATATCTCCCTTCCATCTACTTCAACCTTCAAATCCTGGTAACCACCAGAGTTTGACTGTAAATCTACATATTTCTTAAAAGTTCTATCCTCTCCTGATCTGCAAAATAAGCTCCTTGAGGATGAGAACCACACCATCCTGTTTAAATTGATTGCTCTTAGCACAATACCAAGGGCTCGAAATTTCTACAATAAATTATGCACTGCCTTTTCCACAGATATATGAAAAGAGTTTTGTCAATACATAGAGTACAGTTGCATTTTGGTTTTTTTACTCTGACAATCAACTTTGACAAAATTCAATTAACTCAGATATCAAAATATCTTTAGAGCTATCATTAGTACCGCATGATATCAATATTTTTAAACTGTCACTAATACAAAATTATATTAAATAAGATAAAGTTAATTTGATAGATGGCAGAGGAGAGAATGACAGGTCACAGTAAGCACACAGATTGAATCACACTAAATTCTAAGCCTAGTACCAACATATAAACTACTGTAACTCGAGTTGAATGATTTATTTGGCACTTTGGGGTCTTGGTCTTTTCCTTATCTGTAAAACAGAAACAGTAGTCGGGGGTAGCTATACAATTTAAATATGATGATCCATGTAAAGCTCTTGGAACAGTGAATGCTAAGCTCCTATTAGTTAAGTAAACATTTTTAATGAATTTGTATCCTCTAAATTACCAGCCATTAAACTCAGTTAGCCATACATAAATCATACTTACAGAAAATCATCCCTTATGTTCCCATTAAAAGTGCCACACAGACCTAATGTTCTTCTTTTCCATGCACTAGTGAGCTGAATATAAATCCTTTCCCCATCTATAGCAAACAGGATCTTTAGACCAAATGTAGTTTTTAGAAGCATAAACAAGGATGATAGTGTTTGAATTTCAACAATTCCTACAGGGAAGGAAAAGATATAAATCAGCTTTGAGGCTTACAGGCAGTGTTCTGAAATGCTAGATTATAATATTAAGGCTTCTTTCAAGACATTGGGAAGAGAGGGAGGCAAGTTTCCTGTTCTTCCATGTGCCCAGCACCAATTTTTGTCACCTTGTAGATGCTTTCTCTTCTCCCATTTCCCTTTCTCTCCCACTTTCCTGGGTCTTTAGTAAATCATTTTGATAGGTTGTCAAGTCAACATGCACTTTCTGTTGGCAAGCATCTCATAAGGAGGGATGCATTTCTCAGACATTTGAAATCTAACTTTTTCCTCAAAAATTCTATATTTCCTTAAGATTGATATCAAAAAGAGGCACACACCACTTCTTGTGCCACTTAATGAAACACATTTAAAGATAAGAAATTTGTATTCAAAGTGAACCAGTGCCAGATGCGTTCTCTTCATTGCTCCTGTATCCTTACCACAATATTCCCCTCGATCTAGTTACCAACGCCAAAAGCCTGAGGACTGTTCTTTGATCACTGTGCTCCTCTCATCCTTCCAAACCAAGCCCTTCCACTACATCATCATGTTCAGAATATTTGTCTTCTAAACATTTTTCAGTCTTTCTTCCTCTTCCCAGCTCTGTTGTCACTGTCTTTGATCCTCCTTTCTTGCATGCCCAACTTTATAAGTGTTGTCTTGTCTCCTGTCTAGCAACTCTCTGTCACTTCCACACTATTGTCTCCTATACAAACAACTACTTAAACTCCTTAAAACTCATTGTTTATCAAGTTGAAATATATGACATTGACATCTTTGTACATAAAATCGTCAAATGATGACAATTTTAAATTCAGTTCCATATGAAGTTTAATTTCCTTACCATGACATCTGAGTAGCATGAGCATGTAGTTTGTAAAACAATTTGGATCATTTCTGAGAGTTTTAACTCTGAGCGTGAAACGGGAGTGTTATTAACAACTATACTGCAATGTAGGCATAAATAGGTCCTATCTTGGGAAGCTACCATGTGTGATGCCTGATACGTAAGCTTTCCCACTCTCATCTCTACCTACTTTCCTAATCTCATCTCTGGACTTTCTTCTGAGCCTCTGCATGGGGTAGTTAGCTATGCCAGACTGGTTACAGTTCCTCCTAGGCCAGCTGCACAAGTCAACAACTGCTCTGCCACAGAACATTTTCCCTATCTCCTTCATTGCGGGAATTCCTCAATTTTAAATGCTCTGTGAGGCATTGTCTCCTTCCAAAAACTTTGCTGGCCTTTCCTGCATAAACCTCCCAGTGATAGGTGGGCTGCACTTTATTAAAAAACCCAAAAGTCTCTATGCAAATTTTTGAATTTATCACATTTTATTGTAAGCCAGTTTGCTTGTCTCTCCTCCCTCCCGAATTCTAGACCACTTGAGGTAACCACTAGGTCACATGAATATCATGGTCTCCACTATGTCTAAGGACCTCATGACACACAAGCATTCAATGTTACATAGTTGGCCAATGGAAAAAGAGAGCATTTGGGTTGTGTTTGTTTTTGTTTCTCATGTACAGAAAGTGAAGTATTAACAGTGCTTCTTACCATTCAGATTGAAGCCTTGATTAGGACTGCTGAGGATTTGTCCTCCCCTGCTGAGAGTGACTTGTTTGCTAAAATCGTCATCCAAAATTAGAGTTATAGAATGAAGGCAGACCAAGCCAAGGTTCTGCATAAAATTCAAATTATCCATGAAAGGGATGAGAGTGAGATAGAAACATAGGAAGAAACAGGGGAGATGCGAGATGTAGATGAGAGAAGGGGAGGAGAGAAAAAGAAGGAGAGAGTACTTTTAAATAAGAATTGCTGTTACATAGAAAGCTGGTCCGTAAGTGATTTAATAAAATATCTGTTACATAATATACCTCATGTAGCCCCATTCCTAATAAAATATATCTTTCTATGGTATATTAAATATGCTATATGCATACATACATAAAACATGAAATAAAAGTGTTTTCAATAAAATGCCAATAATTATTTTCTATAGCACATAGTTAAAATACTTTTTTAAATTCATTTTGCTGGTATATTAAACATAAAGTCAATAAAGAAAATAGCTAAAAGGTTTAGAATTTTATTCAGAAAGCTAATTCAGACCCTGATCAACTGCAAATAAAAGACTCAAACAGAAAGCAAGGTAGTTCAGAATACGGTAGTTCAGAACTTTTGGTGGAAATAACTATTTTGAATTTGAATAAAACTAGAAAATTAAAGATTTGGGCACAGTTTGAATACCTGACTGAGATATGAATGAAAGTTCTTGATTTTTTAAAAATTTATAAACTATCACCATATTTATTATTTCAGGGAAAGAACTAAAATAAATATTCCAATATGTTAAGAACTTCATCATAGCCTATTTAGAATGGTATGAAACCTACTCAATACTGTCAAGAAATAATCTGTGTAACATGGATTGTTTGGAAGAAAACAAAAATTTAGACCAATGTGAAATCAGGCATGCAATGTTCAAAAACTGTACATACAAATTAGGCTTAAAATAGAATGCAATTAAATATTTTTCTAGTCTAAGTTATATTTGCTTTTACATTTAGTACCTCTGAAATCAAGACTCATTATTTAATCAATGGTATGTCATGATTACTTATAAGTATTCTTTTCTTTCTTTTGTGGTACATAAGAATGGTAATAAACCTTAATCAACATTATCTTGGTTTTGGAGAAAATAATTATCCATTCATGTTACCATTCTTAATCCAGATATGAAGTTTAAATTTGAAAAATGAATGTTGCTCTAGTCATTTTGAGATGTTGTTCTTACCTGCTCACAGGGAGCTTTCTGTAAAGTAATTGTGAATTTATCTTCTCCAGTTCCTTTCACAAGGACGTACTGGCACATGCCAATAAATGAATAATGTCGGCCATCAAAAGTTGTAAAATGAGAATTACCCACAACAGAGCATTGAACTACCAAAAGAAGCAGGAGAAGAAAAAGAAGAAGAAAAGAGGAGCAGGAAGAGGAAGAGGAGGAAAAGGGGAAGGGGAGGGGTAGGGGGAGGGAGAGGCAGAGGAAGAGAATGAGGAGGGGGAGGAGAAAGAGACAAAGGAGGAGGAGGAGGGAGTTGAGAAAGAAAAAGGTAAAGAAGAGGAAGGAGAATCAGAATGAAGAAGAGGAGGAGGGAAAGGGGAGAAGGTGGAGTGGAGAGGGGAGGAGAGAAAGAAGACATAGAGAAAGAAATTAGGTTAGTTCTTGAAAACTAGGAAGTCAATTTAAGGTAATAATCATACATGAATAAAACATCTAAAGTGTATAAAGTTTACCTGTTTAACAAAATTCATTCAACTAGATTAAATTATTAAATTTAGTTTGAAATTTTTAAGATGCTAATTCTTCCATGTACTATTTTAGGTTTTAGCATATTTACACTATTTAAATAAATTTTTACCAAAGTTGCCTACTCAGAACTCTCATTAATTCAACTTTCCACTTATCCTCTAGGTATCTATATTTATATATTATTATATCCTGTATTATGCATGAGATGTCTTTATAAAAATCACTTTTATCTTCATCCCCAGTTTAAAAACATTAAAACATTTTCTTCAAAAACTTTTTAAAGGATTACCTGGACAGTCATGCTCAGTGCAGTTCCAAATACCACCAACACAAACACTAAATGAAATTATTAAAAACATTAGACTATTGGTACATAGAAACTGTAATAGAATTGATTATTATTTAAAATGTATCATATTTATAGATCTATAGAATAATTTGACTTGGAAAACATCTCTACAAAGTGTAATAACTTTGAACTGAATAACACCTAAACAATTCTCTGTTGTGCATCTTGTCTTAGTGATACCAGGCACTGAGGAACAATAAGATACATCTTCTGAGTGAAATAAATGCTAACTCCCATCTTTACAAAGACAGGAGTTTGGGAAGGCAGCAGCAGAGTCTCTGACTCTCTGACTCATCCACATCTAAGAACATGGCAAGTTGTTTAACTGAATTTCTTTTATGTACATGGACACCAAAGAGAAAAGATCTGTGACAGGTAGGTTTCTGCTTCTTGTTTTTTCTTTTTTTGTAGGACGATCCAGAGGGATTTCATGGTTAACCATAGTTTTAGTTAGTTACTTTAATAAGAAATTCTCAATCTTTGTAATCATGACCCAAAACTAGCAATATAGTCATTTTTAAATGACCCAACAGAGAAGCCCATGAGCACCCTCAAGTTCTAAGTGTAAAAGTAAGAGCAAATTAATGATTATGAATAATAAGAAAAATGCAATTGACTCACCATATTGGAATAATATTTTATGGAATTACCAAAGGAAGTTGTAAGAATCACATCATAAAAGAACATAAAGATAAACCCCCATGTAGTTTTAAAAAAATGCAAACTGCATCCCAGAATTTTAGGAAGAAAATAAGCATTAAGTATATTCTCTTAAACATCTGTCATGATAAAGTTGTTAGCTAATCAGGCAAGCAGAATTAACTGGCCATGCATTGATCACGTACCATTCAGTACACTCTTGTTCAATTTTTGAACCAACAGAATAAGCTAACCCATGAAAACCACATGGGCAGTTTTCCAAAGATATGCAAGTCCCATTGTCCATTATGAGACCTAGTAAAGAAAAACAAGTGTCACATCTCAAAAGTAATAAGAAATATTGTTTTCTTTGAAAATAGTAAATCAAATAACTTGCTAAACACCTGTTTACAATTGGTGTTAGGAATACAAATTCCCTTACTTTCAAAGAGGATACTAGTAACCCAGCTCTTTCTCAGTCATAGCTATCTTTAGAGGGTCTAGTTCAGTGGATATCAAGTCTTACTGCATGATTTACAAACACGTAATCAAGTTTCAACATACAGAATAAAGACAAGGAAACGGAAAGTGGTTTTGCATTTGAGGAAGAAGAGAGAAAGGAAGGAGAAAGTATATTCTTGATTTAGCTTCTGTTCATTCTAAGATGAGAGACATTTACACTAATGTCACACACATAATAAAGAGCTAGGCAGCGCTACTCAATGGTCCAATACACTGGTACTGCATTTGTTACTTTTCTCTAACATGTAGAGTAGATTGAACCAGAATTTAGGCCAACTATGTTAATCTGCACAGTGCTTCATTCAGCTGAATTTTTTCATAATATGACATTATGAGAAAAAGCATTGGCTTTTGTTTGGAAGCAAGGATTCATATTCTGGTGTAACCTTGTTATCTTGCATTGGCTGATAACAGCTCAGGACAGGCACTGGCTCACCCTGGTGGCCCCAACGGAACAACGGACTGAAGACAACAGATCCAGTTCCAAGTATCCCTCATTCACATAAGTATATGACCTGGGGAAAATCGTGTAATATGTCTGGGACTCTATGTTTTTAATCTGGAAAAATGAAAGGGTTTGAAATCTAAAGTCTTCTTTCTAAATGTCTATCACTACAGTAAAATCATTACTAATTTTAAATCCCTATCACTTACTAAGCTGCTTTTCATTTCAAATATTAAAGCTACATCAGGGCCAAAATCCTATAATAAAAAAACGTGAAGTCTTTTTTCTCAAACTCACCTTCACCTTGTAAATAATAAAATATGAAATATCACAAAACATTAAGAGAACAAAATATTCGCCATGGGAACTTTAGGTATAAAGTCCACGTTTCCTGGGAGACATGAAGTAATGAGCCCTTTATGGAAGACAAGCAAGCGTTCCTCTCAGCCACTTCAAATTCAACAAGGATAGGAAACTGCAACAGCCTGGCTGTCCGGGAAGAGGACAGCAAGACCACACATGACCCTCGGGGCCCTGCATGCCAGTGTCCCTGAGTGCAGGAGTGGCCTCCTCAGAAAGCACTCACCATCTGGGCAGTAACATCCATCAAGACAATGGAGATTGCTCCCAAGACACTGCTTCTCAAACGTGCAAGTAGGTGGACAACAACTGATACAATCCCGATGGACAAAGCTGTCGTCACATCTATCAGCTAAAAGGGGCAAACAAGGGAACTATCAGTTAATGTTACTCACCCCTCTTTCAAATCAATTACAGTGTTTCTAATACATGCAAATTTATAAATCTTCTCAATTCTCTAGTTTCAAGTACTAAGATAAGACTGAAATTTACAAAACTGCACAGGGCTTGAAAATTAAAAACATACTGCATGCTGAAAAGTCCTCTCTCCAGTCTTGAATAGGGTAGCCAGCATGAGAACAGGCTCTTGCATACTCAGTGGCTGCTCGACAATAGGTTTCATCATCATCAGTTCTAGGAGGTGAAAAGAGAGAACCAGGTGACAGGAAAGACAGATAGAAACTCTGCCTTACAGCCACTGATTCCAAAATCTCTGAGTGCCTGGTGAATATTTCATTAATTGATGTCAGTATGCATGTCTTTGGTTAGGGATTTAGCTGAGTGGTGCCACCGCCTGCCTTGCAAGCAGGAGGTCCTGAGTTCAATAGTTCAATCCCTGGTACCAAAAAAAAAGCATGTCATTCAAAATATATGTTTTTAGGCATGATACTGTGAAAACACACAAAAATAGAATCCCACATAAATAAGCCCAGGTACATTGACTTCATCAAAGTCTTTCACTAATTTGGTATTTTTCTTTCCAATCAAGAGACAACTGGGCCGGGGATGAAGTCTGCAAGCACAAGGTCCTGAGTTCGATCCCCAGTACCAAAAAAAAAAAAATGCCAGGGTTGTAGCTCAGCACAGTGCTTGCCTGGTAAGGGAGAGGTCCTGAGTTCGATCTCCTGTACCGGGAGAGGAAAAAAAAAAGAGACAACTACACTAAAACACATTCTATTTTAGTTATAAAATTTTTATAGACATACTTTTGCTCCTGCACAAAGCAGAACTTTTAGAATTTAATAATCATTAAATTCTAATAAAATTTAAATCCCTTTAAAATGGATAAAATTCTATCCCAATAAAAATATCAAGTATGCATATTGTTCCCAAACACCATGCTCTTGCTTGTCCACAAGCTGAAATAAAATCACTGCCAGTAGTTGATAGCACTCAAAAGCATTTTGATGGTTCCTCATCCTTCTTTGCAATACGATTCCAAAACATCTTTGAAAGATTAAACAGCATTTCACTGAAGATTTAAAAGAAGATTTTGAATTCTTTTTCTAATCTTGATAGTTTTATAACCTTGCCAAGAGTAAATAATCTCTAATTATCTTATTGTAATCACTTTAGGAGCTTCCCAAACAATAACTTCTTGTGGGCTCTTCCAATTCCTAAAGCACTGTTAAAATAAATGAGTTTATAACAAGGTAGTGGGGTTGTTTCTAAACCCAATTCAAATTCAAAACTGAATAGTTAAGTATCTTTAAAGAATGCTCTATTTTGTGAGCCTTAACATTTTCAGTATCTCTACTTTGAAAGCCATCGTCTCAAATTGCTGTTCCCCTTTTCAACTGTAATTGTAGTCATGCAGCTCATCTAGTCCAATTAACTGAGCTTTAGAGGAAAGGACATGAGCATATAAACCTCAGAAGCTCAAAAATTCTAAAATTCCAAACAAAGAGTTTTTGAAAAACAGCATAAACTAAAAGTTGTTGAACTCTTGGAAAGACATTAAATTCATAATTTACTTTAAATATGTGCATTTTTCCTACAATTAATGGTGGTAATGAAAGTCAGGAAAGTAAGTGATCACAGGTTTCTCGACTCAGTGCAACTAATATTAAAATACCTACAATTTATTAAGTGTCTGCGTTACTCTAGGAACTATGGTAAGCAAATAAACATGTGGCATCTCATGACACATTGGGCAAGAAAGAAAACTCATGACAATCGGGTAGGGAAGAAATTACTATCCCAATTTATCTGGAGAAAATGAACTTATTTTTCTATTTTGGATATCAACTTTAATAAGGAAAATGAACATTAAATAATAATTGTTTCTAATTCAATTGACTTTAATGTGTCAAAATTAAAATTATTTCCTTGCTGCTAAGTTTGGCAGTCTTGGAAGCAAAAACGTAAATTTCAAGGATTGGTATTGTACTGTATTTTCTTTCAAGTTTCAATTCAAATGTGCTCTCTATTGAGTCTCGCAGGCTCTCCCTGATAACTCAGTATTCTCCTCCACATCCGTAGCTCTTTGCGTCTGGAGCACTGTGCTATTGCTGGAGACCTGACTCTCTGCCCCAGTAGAATATGTGTTACTAGGACAAAGACCAGTCTAAGTTATTTCCGTTTCTCCAAATGTGGCATAATGCTGAGCTCAGAACAGATACCCAAAAGATGAGTGTTGAATTGAATTCAATATACCATCATAACCCAAGCAGGAAATTAATCTGTGTTCAGCCAATTCACACTTCTTTTTCATGGTACAGGGTTGTTGTGATTCAGTTCTCTAATACAGGAAATGAAAACAATCATTTATTTCCTATTGAATGGAAGAGAGACTGTAAGTAGGTCTAGTCCTGAAAGAAACATTGAAGGAAGTAAAAGGCTGACTCTGGAAGCTTCTCACTTCTGTTCTCTCAATGCCCACTTAGTTCCGATGCCCTTCTTCAAGTATTACATACCTTTTCTGCTCCCAAACCCAGCCTCTTTAGCATGAACACAACTATTAAGGTGTCAACTAACTTAAACCAGTACAGTGTGTTTCTCTATCCTGCTTTTGTATTTGCCTTTGAGGAAGCAATTTCTCAAATTGCCTAAGAAACCAGGGTTCCAAAAGAAAAAACAATATTAATTTTCAGGGATAAAATTTCATGTGAAATGGATGTGGCAGAGACTGCTTTTTGCCTCTACTTCCTCCCTTTTTCACTATTAGAATCCCAAGCTTTTGCTGTGCATTTGACTGTCCACCCAAAGACAACATTGGCAGCCTCTTCTACATCTAGGTGTGACCATGTTTCTAAGCTCTGGACAAAGGGTTAGAAATAGAAATAAATGCCAGCTTTCTATAGCCTTTCTGCTTTTCTAAGGTCTAAAACGTGGACATAGGTCTAAACATGGTGAACCAGTTTAGGCCCTGAACTTGTGGATGTGGAGGATGTGAGGGAGATTAATGGTAATATGTCTTTTACTGTAATAATCTTCTTCATTTAAACATTCACTGCATACTTTGATCATGCCTCATATATTAAAAAGCACACATATATTAGAAATTAATTTCTCTTATTATTTTGATAATTCTATTTCATTATAAGTAGTATCCTCTGTACTCTTATGTGTTTTATTTTGTATATTTCAAACATTTTGAAAAAAACATTATGTACATATTATATATAGGCATATATACATATACATATGCTCTAAATTTCTGAACAAGATCAGTTGCACAAAATGTTTCAGAGTTCCTGTATGCTGTCCGTGTTGCTGTGTAAAATATTCAGGTTGTAAGTGCCATCCCAAAAGCATTTAATAGCTGTCAGTACAGTTTATATTTTGCATTTCCTGTTACATTTTGCAAATTGCTCAAATGTCCAAGTTACAGAAATATACCTTCTTCCTCTTTTTGCATAAAGAAAATATTGCTATTACTGATTATTTAACTTACTTGCAAAGATCATTAACACAGCTGGCAATATATAAATATGGATCAATATATTCATGGCAGCTCAGAAAAGGAAACTGCAACAGTATCTGACACTTGAAGAAGATTGCCTGTATGTAAAAGGAATCCAGACACCAAAACATGGTTAATGGTACACATCTAATCTCAATTTTTAACTTTCTGTGAGACTTTGTTGTTAACAAGAAACAGAAAATAATTTATACTTTTAAATTATAACCAATGGTTTTCTAACTACAGATTTTCATGATAAATACTGCATTTGTAAAAATCATCACATTCAGTATTTTCAAAATAACTTTAAAGTTAACCCCTACTGCAATTACATTTCATGGATTTAATATTTTAATTATGTTGTGTCTACACTTAAAATATGTACTGCCAAATAAATAGATATCATATGTGTACTTCATGCCTCACATGACACAATTTTTCATATCAAAGTTACCTCAAATGCAGGCATTCCACTGGAGCATGGATTTGGAAAATCTGAGGGTGTGGGCACACATTTGGAGTCATCAGGTGTTTGCACTGACCAGCTATTTGCAAACATAGCAATATCTTCTGTGTAGTCCTCTATTTCACACAAACACACACAGACAGCTGTCATCTATCATTTTTCCACAAATATAGACACTGTTCTTCAACATTAACTTCCGGGGCAAAAAGTTAAACTCAAAAACTTTGTAATTACCTATGTGATAGCAAACTGTAACATTACTTTAACATATTAAAAACAAATTGAACAAAGTGCCAAGTAAAAGTACCATTAGAAAAGGCAAATTGCATTTGAAACAACACAGAGAAGGAATGAATGTGAACTGGTCCAACATATGAGGAGTCAGCAAAATATACACTGAATGTTTAAATTTTAAAAATTTGTTACAGTAAAAAATCACCATTAATCCCTTTCAAAATACCTTGCAAACACATTTATCCCAATCATTCTTGCCATTTTCTGAAGCAATTCTGGAAGTTCTCTTTCGGGAGTGTCTTCATAAGGTGTGATAAAGGAATGGTGAATGTTGCTGCCAAATGCCACCCAACAGCAAAACAAACTCGCAAAAATATTAGTGTGTCCTCACTCACCTTGTTCACGGGATCTGGCACCATGCTAGGTCTGGTTCTTCTCCAAGTTACAATGATCGTGAAAGGTAAATGTTTTGGATCAATAGAGGACACTGAGGCAGCCACAACATCACAACTAAAGACACAAAATAGGACTTCCAGAACTGCTTCAGAAAGTGACAAGAATAATGCTATAACCATGTTAGAAGCATGGGGGTGTATTTTTCAGAAGGATCAATGGCAATGTGTCTTACAGTGATTATTTTTTTAATGTAAGCATTGATAATATTTTATCACACCTTGTACACACTAGGAAACTGTTAACTAGCCAATGTTCAGTTTTTCTGTAAAGGAGGAAAATACACACAAAATTAAGAAACACAAATAGAAGTTTACAGTGAAGTTTTTCGGATAGCTGTAGTGCATTTGACATTAGTCAGAACCATACTAAAGTTGTACTTCCATTTTGAGGGTCTACAACAATAAAAATTTTTTGTTAAGCTCTTTGGGACATTTCAAAAATCAATCACATACACAGTAAAGAGGGAAAAGACACTGTAAGAAGAGACAACTAAGAAAAATTTCATCTAAAATTATGAATAGTGAAATAATTAGGACACACGTGTAAATACCGAATAGTTTCTCTGGTGTGAAAAACTAAAAGTGTAAATAAGGATCAAAATGTATAATTAGTATTGTGAAATAGGAAGAAAAGGTCTAAAGGAGTAGGGGAAGTGGGAGGGGTAGGGGAAAGAAAAGAAGGGAAAAGAAAAAATATGAGAAAAGGAAAGAAATGGAAACAAAGTCTTTGCAAATAGGGAAGGGAGGAGGGGGTAAAGGGAGAGCAGGGGAATGGGGAAAAATAAGAACCAAGATGCATCTTGTAAAGGTACAAGATCCTAATGATGAATGTAACTGTACTGTATACCTAAAATGTACCAATAAACTTAATGAAAATAAAATAAAATGATGAATACTGGTTCTAAAAAGAAAGAGCCCAGTATTAAAACACTGAACCAATCCCAGCATATTTAGGAATAAAATTTAGGAGTTCGTATGCAAGCCAACAGATATTTTAGTGTGAACACTTGGAGCTCATAGCTCCAAATCAAATTTAAATTGTTTTGTCAACTGAGCTGTGAATAAGTTCAGGGCCTGGTAAGGAGCTCTACATATCTTAACTCTGCCCTACACTCAGACACAGAGTGTCTCAAATCTCAGGAATGTAGCAGAACCAAACCAAATGCCATCTCAAAGCACCCCGAAGACAGACTTCAGAATTGAGCTTTGGGCGCCTTCTACCACCCAGTTGGGCATGGTCGTAGGGCTACCACAGGTGTCAATCTCACACCACTGAATAAAATTCAAACAAGGCTGCACCACTCTTCCTAATATCCTCAAGACTGCACGCTGCTACCAGATGTTGACAATATTATTAAATTCAGTCTCTATCTGAATGCTTTTCTCCTTTAGTGTAAAATTCCAAATTGTACTGTAGCTTGGAAGACTCTGCATGACCTGGCACCTGTACTATCTCCTACTTCTCAACCTACCCAATGCCTCCTGTATCTTCCATCCTTATTTTCCTTCGACTATCTCCAATCATACTGGCTTTATTATGCTCTTCAAATACCCAACCTCCTTCCCACCCCAGGACATTTGTTCCCTCTCCTCCTCCTTCAAAACCACCCTTACTTCAGATTTTCCTTCATCTAGATCTCTTTTCAGTTGGCCTTCTCTACATGATCTGGACTAATGCCGAACATGACTTGCTGTTTCTTTAATCTCCTTTTTCTGCTTTTTTCATGGTTACTAATTAAATTATATTTTATTTTTTCCCTTTATTCATTTAATCTTTTTCTATAATATGCGATAATATTATTATCTTTTACTACATGAACAGAGAGAAATTGTCTCAGCTGTTCCGTTGTTACAGCCCTCATTTAGTATCTGGCATATAGTGGTTGCTTAAAATATACTTGCTAGATAGGTGAATAAAAATATATAGGGTAGTTAGTTTGCAAAATTTATTAAATTAGAATCCTAGAGCTTTCAAATTTGTCTGGTCTACTTCATTATCTCTGGTACTGTTGGGAGTGTTACATGCTGAATAAAGCATGGACATGCTCTAATACACTTATTTAAAAGTGGGACAAATGATGTCCATTTTAAGTAAATTTATAGTCACATTTTATTTCAAAATATCACTTTTTAAAGTCTAACAAAACAAAATATTTCCTAATGACCCCCTGTTTCAATGTTTATGCACAAATTTTAGTGCTACTGAACAACCTGGGCAATTCCTTAGAGTTCACTCCAATCTCAGCTTTTGAACAACATAGTTAGTTATTTTTTTACTACAATGCATTAATAAAAGAGTCACAAGAGTTGTTTATCATGAGACTTTAAATCCATATCTACTGGTGATCTGGGAGCCTTCTAAACTAAAATTACAGTGCTTCCTATGAAATATCCTCTCCGTAGGATAATTTAGTGTTCATATGGGGACACTTTTGATAGTGAAGCAGAAGCATTATTAATTATTATCCTGAAATAAATGAATATAAATCAAGACTTCCAAATTGTTGCATAGTGAGGCGTAAACATGAATTATAAAAACAGAATTCTAAACTAGACAACAAATTAAAATCTTCCTATGTGCACAGAAATTCTGAAAAGTCATTTCTTTGGGAAGTCATCCCTGAAGAATAAGTAAGAATACAAAGAAATAAAGTTTTAATTGCTCTTAAGAAGTTATATTCCATAGCATTCAAATTATCCAACTCTCTAAAGATTGATCTAATCAGTACACCCTAATTTTTTTTTAAAAGTAGGCATCTTAAAGTTAAAGATAATACAGATCATCTGTAGACTTTTTTTTTACATTTTTTACAATATGAGAAGGATAGTAAGGTAATTTCTTCTCAAATCCCTACAAATTTTTCTTAGATTTTTCTAATTTTAAAATTCTCTCCTCCCACACACTTCCCAAAGTCCTGCCAAGTCAGTCACCATAATCCAGTTTAATTGCCTCCTGCCAGTCTTCTTTGCTACTAATCTGCCAATGCCCTTTTGCTTGTTGCCTCTCTTATCTCAATGTGAACAACTGTTTGTATTCCAGGTTATTGAAGTCTTTCTGGCCCTTTGCTCAGATTCCTAAGCTCAGCCTCCTTGCCTGTAAGAAAAACAGATGCTGTTTTCTATCCTATCTCCATACACATTCCCTGGACGTCCTAGGAGGGGAAGATGCCCAATACAGTCTTTTGTGACACGAAGATCTGGCCTGAATATTTCTTGTCATGAAGCTTTGATACAGAAGAAAAATAACAATAATGACTATCTGACTTGTTCTAATTCCAAAACTTTATGTCCTAATAGTCTTAAGATTCAAAATTTGAATTCTTTCACTCCAGATACTAACCAGATGCAAAATACCATTTCATGATGATGCCAATGCTGTACATCTGTATTGTGCTCACGCACTTTTGAGCACTTTTATTTACATTTTCTCATTAGATATTCACAGGCTAGGAACCTCTCGGGTTCACTATTATTATCTCCATTTTATATATGAGGAAATTGACTCCTTGGAGTCCTGGTCTCTAATGCAGCTCCTAGTAAACTAATCTTGATGATGCATTATCCATCTTGGGAAAAATAGTTGCATTTTAATAAGGGTTTCTTAAAGCTATGTAAGACATTTTGAACCATTTTTATTTCAGCTCTATTATAGTCTTATTGAGGCATACTTAGAGATGATTATAAATTAAATAAAATGTATTGAGTGTTATCTATGTGCCAAGCACTCTGAGTATTTTACATTGATTACCTCATTTGATCCTTGCAACTCTATGATATATACACTATTATTATATCATTAAAGTTACGATGTTTAATAAATGGCAAAGGAGAATTTGAATCCCACAGTCTGATTCCAGAGACCACACTCTAAGTGGTCCTTGTATTGTTCCCTAAAACACAACATAGGGATAATTAATCTCCATTAATTTTGTAACATAAAATAAAAAGTATTATGTAGTAAATATACACTTTGTTTTTCTTACAATTTTATTTTAATCTCTTTATTTTAATGTACTACAAGAAAATATTAAAAAGAAAATATTAAAAAGAACTCTTCTTACTTCTATGAAAAAATAAAACAATTTCAAATTATACTATCAACGGCAATTGCCCTCATACCTATCTACACACAGGACTGAGAGCTGGTCAGACCTGTAATCCAGCCTAACATAGTCATTTACAAGCTATGTTACCTGGGACACATGACCTTGAATCCTCTTTGTAAAATTAATAGTACTCACCTTTCGGGTTATTGAGAGGGTTGTGAATAATAAAGCTCCATGCTCATATTAACTATTATTATAACTAGTAGCAAGGTGTCTAATTATTATTACTAACTATCCTGTGAGTTCAGAATTAATATATCCCTATTTTAAAGATGAAGAAAACAAACATCAGAAAGAGTAAATGATCAAATTACAGAATTTGTAGGAGTTGAAACTAGATTCAAAGACAGGCCTGCTGGAACTAAGAAAAAATTTTTTATTGCACCTCTATGTTTGGACCTAAATCATGATTATGGTCTGTAATTCTCTTATTCTTTCACCATTGTACACTGGTACTTGAATTGAAACAGACTACATTTCTAATAACAGAAGTAGGTTTCATGGCTTAGATTTAATAGCTGATTTAATAGATTTAATAGTCAGTTTATAAAACCTTTCCAAGTTCTATTCTGCTTTTATATCCTGTTCACACTTTATTATATTTACAAAACTATTGTCTGTTAGTTATTTAACTTATTTCTATCAAGACTGCGTGAAAAATACCTTTTTTCCTAAAGTAAACATGTTTGATCTGAAAGAATTTGAGTCACTAGAACATAAACTCCGAGCACAGAGGGGTGTTTGTTTTGCTTACTGATGATCCGAAGTTCCTAGAGCAATACAGATGTAGCCCAACTTCCTGACACAAAGCAAATGCTCAGTTAATATTTGCTATGTGAATAAATGCTGTGTGTGATTTAGCAAATGTAAATTGGCTCATAGATTTTTTTAAAGGCTTCCAAAATGTTTTTCTACCCAAACTTCCATTAAAATCAACAAAGCAGGCAAGTGGTAGCCAGGAATTTCCCCCAACAAGTCTTGTGGGCAATAACTGTTTGATTAGTGAAGGAAGAAGTCTTTAGAAAGTACTCATCTATTTCTTCTGCTCCACTTACCTTGCTGAATTATGAAATCATCAGATTGAATATCATTGTAGGTGCCACATAGGCCACATGATTTCCCTTTATGCTCCTCAGATAATTTGAGATAAATTCCCGATATTCCATCCCATGCCAATGAAAAGCCAAAAGTTGTTTTCACCAGAATGTAGTCAGCTAATTTCTCAATGAAAACTTGTCCAATTGTCTGGGGTAATGTTAAACTTGGATAAAGAACAAAGACCATGTAAGGGTTACGATGAAGGTCAATATAGATGATACATTTTCTTCTTACAGTGACTCAGATAATAATTAAGAAAGAATTATTGCTCAAACTTATTGAATACACTTTGCTTTGAAATTTTCCAAGCAATCACCCTATAGGAAATCTAAACTTTTTGAAAATTTTTAATATTGAAATTTAAAAACAGCAAAAATTACACTTTCCCCACACTGATTTGGAGTTGATACTTACAAATGGATGCTTCTGTCAAACAACCAAAAATACTCACCTGCTAATTATCAGTAATTTTTAATATCTGAAAAACAACCTTGCCTATTTAGAATACTGAGAGCTTAAAATGATTTTATTTAGAAAATTATAGATAATCTAAAAATTCTGCTCAATAATTTTGAAATATAAATAAGCAATTAATATGCAAGTACACTTGAATTCTGATATTGATTTTATTTTCAATGTGTCTACAAGAAAATAGGAGCTTCTGTGATCAAAATGTCACTTTGGCACAAGTAATTGTTTTCTAAAAGAAAAATGTCTAGGGATGATTAATTACAATTTACATTTTAATGTTGTAAGAATATTTTCAGGGATGTAATATTCTTTTTCATGCAGTACTACATAGAGATTATATTCTTAACCTCTAAATTGGATACAATTTTGCACATTTAAGCAAGAATTAGAAAGAACATTTACATTCCTGATCTAATGTCTAATTGTTCTACTTAAGACAAGCATGTGTACATACAAAGAAAATGGGAGATATAAGGCAATCAAAATTAAACAATTGGGGCTGGGGGTTTAGCTCTGTGGCTCCAGCTCCAGCTCACAAGCGCAAGGTCCTGAGTTCGATCCCCAGTACAAAAAAATAAATAAATAAACAATTGAACATTTTAAAAGCAAAGTCACCTAGAAGGCATATGAAAGGGTGCAGTTCTCCTCCCATCCACAAGTAGTGCAGAAAAAAGCAGGTGCTAACACTAGAAGAAATTGGAGAACAACTCATTTCCATTAAAACAACCATTTCAAAATAGTATTATAACCCTTAATGTGAATGAGGTAGGCGGTTATTAGGTATATTCATACATTTCTCTCAAAAACTTCAAATTGACGATTTCTTTTCCAGAAAGAACACGGCCATATGTAAAAAAAAAACTATAAAATTAAACATAACAGCACTCAAAAATGATAATCCTTAAAGAAGAAAACAATATAAAACATTTCTAACCATTTTCATGGTTGTGTTTGCTTTGTTGTGTTTTTTCGGTACTGGAGATCAAACTTGAATCCTTGTGCTTGCGTGTGGGTCAGGTGGCAGAGCCGTTGAACTAAATCCCTGGCCCTGTTTTGTTTTGTTTTGTTTTGTTTGTCTTTGCAATACTGGAGATTGAACACAAGTCCTGATGAATATTATGTAAACGCTTTTTACCCCCAGCTACATTCCTAGCCCACAAAATTTTTTGCAGAGAAATATTTCCATAAAATTAGTTATCAACATAGGAAAATAACTAAAAGTTTAAATAATAAGACTACTTAAATATTATCTTAGTTAAATATATTCTTATTAAAATTATAAATATGAGGAATTCATAGTAAGTCAGTAAGAAACAACATTGAAAAATATCACTTGCTTTGAGTTTGTAAGCTTATAAAAACTACACTTTTACAAAATGAATCTAAATTATACTTTAAAAAAATGAATCTTGGTGAGCGTGGTGGCCCACACCTGTTATCTCAGGAGGCTGAAGCAGGGCTATTGCCACAAGTTAAAGGCCAGCCTGAACTACATAGCAAGATCTTGTCTCAAAAATAAAATGAATCTTGTTCTATAAACATATTTTATAGTAATGGGATGTTAATTGATGAAAGTATAGTTTAATTGAGGGTAATTTTTTTGTTTTGATCACTTAGTCACTTGGGTTTTCACAGTAAATTTAATTAAATATACAATTTTTGAAAAGAAAGGTAGATAACTGATTATCTTGAAGTTTATAACATAAAAGAATGCTACCGAAATGAGGGGACAATAGAGCTAGACGAAAAAGTCTAATACAAACTCCAATGAAAATAAAGTGAGTTCTGAATTTATTTTATAATAGGAAATATTAAAATATAAACTAAAATGAATACATAGATTAATGCCAAAAAGCATTCGGGAGCTTATTTGTGCCCCAACCCCTTATTTCTCAGATGAGAGAACTGAAATCCAGAGAGGTAAGGCTTACTGTGCAGAGCCACACATGTTTGAGTGCATTTTGGCAAATATTTCTCTAGCACTTGCTGCAAGTTAGGCCCTAGGCCAGAAACAGCATTAGTATAAACAGCATTACTGAATAATAAGAAAATTACCCTTTTTCTGTCATACAACTGGAAATCCTCATAGAGATACTTTCTTCTTATTAAATCTCAATGTTATGTCTTCCATTTAACACAACTAATATTCTTGAAAATCTATCTGAATGGTATCTCTGCTCTACAAAATATAATAGTTTTGGGGTGCCTGTTAAAAAATCCCATACAGAGAATCTTTAACTAATTAAATCATGTATAGGAAATACAGGCTTAACTATATTATCTTCAATTCAATTGCCAAGCTTTTTTATAAGAAAATGATAAAGAAAATAAGCCCAGAGAGGTGGAGGGGTAGCTCCTGGTGCCAGATTATAACAAAACCCAGCTGGTGCTTGGTCCAAAGCCATTTCTGCTACTACTTGCTGCCTCTTAGGCAATCTGAACTGAGAAAAAACATCATGATTGGAAAGAATCCCCATGGTCCAAAGGTCTGATAAAGAATTCTGAATGATGAATAAAATTCTTCCATCTTACAATTTACTTTTTCTGGCATAACTCAAATAGGAAATGTTTAAAATTGAGTGTCTCTATAATTATGGAGACTGCGAGGTAGATTATTCCACAGTATTTCTAGTTTAAAATGCATAAAATCTTCTGTCAAGTATATAAACATCTCCTTTCCCCAAAACTCTCAGGTTATATTCTTGGCAAATAAGAAGCCAGAATCGGCTCCTCTCTGATCTGTTCAACAAGGCCAGGTATTTACTGGCTCTGAGTCTCAGAACTTCAATGGAAAATCTCAAGGGACATTCAAACCTTGTTCACATAAGCTTGGAAATGACTCCTAGAATCCTTTCCAAACTTAAATTGATTTTTGTAAGATCCTGTCTTAAAGTAAAAATAAAAAACAGTATTTAAAAAAGACAGCAAAATCATCAGAGTTGAAGTATAAAGATACGTCTGGAATTTCTGAGGGGAAAATGATAACTTATTTCTACTGCTATAAACGCATTTGTATCCTGCACAATGATTAGGACGGTGAACCTGGTTAGATTCCTGACCACTTGGTTGGCCTCAGAATCTACTTATGTTTTGCTATCTAGGTGATAAAACTTTCAGACTACTGTTGAAGAAAGCTTTACTATTCTCCACAATTCACTGTCAGTCTGAGATACTTGAAAATTCTTTTAACTCATGATGTTATTTTTATTATATTATTCAGCATATCTTACCTGATTCCATCCTTTTTAATTTCATGACCATAAATTCGAATTTCCTCTTGGTTTGAAAAGAATAAGCTGATTGCGCGATAACAAGAATACACTGAACCAAAGCATTTGGGGCTATTATGAACCTTTGAAGTAGAAAAAACAAAAGAAAACATAGGAAGCAAGACCAAACACAATTATCTAATATCCACTTGGGTTTCTAAAATTAAAACATAAAAGGGCCAGGGATTTAGCTCAGTGGTTCTGGCACCTGCCTTGCAAGCACAAGGTCCTGAGTTCGATCCCCAGTACCAAAAATAAAATAAAATACAATAAACTTACAACATATGTTTACGGTTCTATAGTGCCCTTAGTCTCACAACACTACATAGAAAGTTAGGTACACATTTAGGATTTTCGAAAGAAAAAAAAATATTTACCTCAGAAATTGATAGAGTCAACATCTTAAAAATACCAGTCAATTCAGCATATTTTTAAACTGATCCAAATCTCCACATGTTACACATTAATATTCTGAAGTTACATGATATATATTGGGAAAAAAATGGTTCTGATAGGAAAAGTGTAGAACACCACATATATATTCATAATATTTATGCTCATATTTTTTACATGTTACAGAATAATAAGACAGAGCTTCAAACAGAGCACACTATACCAAGCAACACTTTTAATTGATCATGATGTCACTCAAGTAAAATTGATTTTATTTGTTTTTATTTCCAGGCATTTTAGGGAATAATGGTGAGAAATTTGGTTTGCTAGTAAAAAGAAAAATAAAGAAAGGAAGATAATAAGTGTAGAGGAAAAAAAGAAGAAATGAGAAAAATGAATGTTAGATTCTCATATCAGAATTAATTTCAGAAGGTCCAAAGTAGTAGAGTATAAATAATAAAACCATAAATAACTGGAACAAAGATTATATATAAAAGATAGATATCTATAAATTATAATGAAATTTGAAACATAAAACCAGTGAGAAAAATCACCAATAATGAGACAGATTTTAAAGACTGTAGCAATCTAATATCTGAATTTAATGTTTGATCAGTAAATTTTGTTATTCACCTATTGTGTACTAGGCACTATTCTAGATCCTGGAGATATAGAAATTAACAAAACAGACAAAAATATTTTCCTTCAAAAAGTATGTATCTCATTACAGAAAGGCAGTTTAAAATATAACTAAATATAGCTAAAATGCATTATTTGATATATGATGTTAAGGAAAAATATTCAGGGAAAGGAGATAGACAGATTGTATACGTCAAGGCCTGGTGGGAAAATTTAGATTGAGTGGCCGCTTTCTGAGGTGGTGAGATTCTGGTAAAGATTGCTTATGATAACATGCCAAATGGGAAATCTAGCAGCCCATTACAGGAAAATGGAATATGAAGTATAAAATCCTGAAAAGGAAGTATGAAAAAAAGTGTTCTCAATATCCAGGAATGCAGAATCTGACCCGAGGCAGAAAGTTGGAGGCTTCTTCGTTGGAAGAACAAATGGAAAAAAGACATAGACACACTAATGTTTGGGCTTTTACCTAATGAAACTGGATGATCCCTGCTCAGTCTCACATTGTCTAAACAATACTCTTCCACATATTAAGAGTTTCAATCAGCTATGAGAGTTCAATTCTCAAATGTGAACAGATAGTCATGAATCATTAATCATTTCATAAAAGTCTCCAACATGAAAAGCAGACCAAATAAGCAAAAAGGAAAAAGTCAAAAATCAAAATCAAACAATACATCAAAATCAAAATAAAAAATAATTCAGAAAATAAACTTACAAAGGTCATAACTAATATCTTAGCGAGAAAAGTGAGTATGTGCCATCCATAAAATAAGACTAAAAGGAAAGTCTAGGACTAAAGGTAAATAATTAAATATTGACAGCAGTGATAGGATAAATTTATAACAGAAATAGAAAGGTTGGGAGATAAATATCTAAGAGTTGGAAAGAAATATCCCAAAATGTAGGACCAAAAAAGCAAGAATCAGCAACAAAGTTAAGGACAACTCAGTTCAGGAGTTCTAAAATATAAGCAATAGAATTTCTTAAAAAGAAGAAGAGAGGAAATTAGGAAAGAAATATTGTTGCAAAACTGAAGGAACTGCAAAGCTTGAGAGGGACCCATTAAAGTACCAGCACAAAAAAAGAAAGAAGGAAAGAAGGCAGGAAGGAAGGAAGGAAGGGGGGGAGGGGGAGAGAGAGAGAGAGAGAGAGAGAGAGAGAAGGGCTCTCACATAATCACAAAAATCCCAGAATTCTGGAGTTTAAAAAATCTAAGATTTTTTTTAAGAGCAGAGGGGGAAAGGTTATATGTAAAATGATCAGAAAAGTGAATTGAACTTCAAAGTTCTGAAAGTGGGAGGAGGGAGGAAGAGGGGAGAGAAGGGAATTCCAAAAAAAAAAAACAAGCTGTATTACGTACATGTACTCATTCCCCAAGATGATTGTAAAATGCATGTACTGTGACATGTACTAATAATTTTTTTTTGTTTTTTGAGGCAGGGTCTCCCTTTGCCTGAACTCACTATGTAGCCTAGGCTTGCCTTGAACTCTCAGAGATCCTTCTGCCTCAGCCTCTTGAGTGCTGGGATTACAGGCATGCACCACCACAGCCAGCATACTTTTTTTTTTTTAATTCTGAAAATGTCTTCCAAATTATAATCAATGTTTCAGAATTGTCCCTTCCAGGCACAATTTTCCATGAAAGTGTCATCCCTTTCCAGAAAGCAACTTGTAATCTAGTCAATGAAAATATAAACAAAGAGGAAATGAGTACCTGTTCAATTACCACTACAAACCATACTGGCTCTATGCTCTGAGTATCAGTACATTTTTAGACACTATCTCTCAAGCCTGGCCAAAGTTCCCAGATCACTAGCCACTTGCTAAGATCCAAGAAACAGGAAAGCCAATGCAGGAGGCAGAAGACCAAAATTTTCCAGAAGGACAATGGAAAGAAATCCCAAGTGCTAGGTACATAGTAGGCCTTGAAGGCAGCCAGCCTTGATCAAACCACACAGGAAGGAAGAATCAAAGAACAGATGTTTCATGGGGAAAGAGGAACAGAGATATTGCAATAATCAAGAAGTTTTATAGATAGAGATTTGGAGGGAAAAATTTAGTGACTGGAGCAAAGAAAAAGTAGCAAACCAAAAACAAGGAGGATAAAATTCTTTACCCTAGGAAAATGTAAGAGAAATGCAATCATATAACCTATTGGGGTCAGCTCTAAAAAATATCTATATAGTGACAATAATGTAAAAACTGCAAGTCATCTTAACCAAAAATAGTAATAAGGAAGAGGAAAAGAGACGAGATATAATGTATTCGTTCGTGTGTGTGTGTGCGCGCGCGTGTGTGTGTGTTCGTGTGTGTGTGACTAAGCATGAAATATGGTGTAATTAAGATGATTCTTCATCTTTTGTCTTAGGAAGTTAATAAATAAGTTCTAATTTTCAAAAATAAAGAAATGATAGCATTTTTTCGTAATATAAAATTCAGAAAGAGCAGCTAAAAAGGTTGGAATAGTTGTCTCTGGAGAGCCAGACTTCAACTGACATGAGGCACGAAGGAAGACAGGGCTGTTCTTTTGCTGTATGTGCCTTGAGGAAGTCTTTCAAATTGTATACATGCATTATTTTCATAAAAATTAAATCTAGTTTAATGAAAAATCAGTAGTATTAACAATAAAATATATGAAGATATTTATCAATGTATCTTTTTAAAATACTGATTTTTTTGCAGTACATTATTACATTTATTGTGGAAAGTTGGTAGATAACACACTTAATTTCTTTTACACTTTTTTACATCTCTTTCCCCCTCCCTCCTTCCCTGTTCCATCTTAGTCCCCTTCCCATTTGCAAAAGGTCTATCTCCATGTTTCCTAAATTAAAGAGTAAAATGCAGATTTTTAAAAGTTTAAATTTCCAAAATAGAATATTATTAAATTATTTGAGTATTCATGGTTTGGAACTAACACAGCTAATAAAATTCACGTTTCTGGAGAGTATTTGACATGGGAGAAACTTCTTGATATAATGTTAAATAAAAATGTGGGACAGAAAATTACACATAGTATAATTTCAATCTTATAAATATGCATAAAATCCAGAGGAAAAAAAATCCTGGAAGGAAATCTATGAAGACGTTAGCAATGGCAACTCTTGACTCATAATCTTAATATTATTTTTAGACTGAATTTCTAAATTTTCTATAAAAGAAGCCGACTACTTTTAAAATTCGATAAAGAAGACATTTAAGGTAAACAGATTCATCAATTTGAAAGCAAAGTTCTTCACTGAAAATGGGACCAAGTAGAAACAATATCTATTAACTCTAGAGACATAATTGAGCATTGTGTTATTAACAAAGGATGGTTTATCTAGGTGACACTTTAGTCCTCAAAAGAGTAAGATACTGGACAAGATCATTTCAATGAGAACGTCAAAGCAGTACAAGTGACAATGCTAGTGAGAGAATGGAGAAGTAAACAACAATGAAAAGCAGCAGGTGCCCTGTAAGCACTGAGGAGGAGCCATCCACTCCCTATCTAAAGAGCCCCCTAATTTCTTATTCCTACCCCCTATATGTTAGCTTTCAATATACCTCATTACTTTTCTCTGCCACAAATCTGAAAAAAGTCCTAGTTTTAACATTTGCATCACCTAACAGGGGGAGCTCTTAGGTAACTCCATGGTACTTTAAAAGAAAAAGCAGATTCAAACACATATTGGCCATAGAGAGCTTTAGCTTTTAAGCAGGATAGTATAGCAGTCTCCTGATTGTGCACAGAAATTCAAAGCAACACAGTGGGCAGGAAAAGAACTCCCTGACTTTCTTATTTCAACTACAGCCACTCTACAGCTTGCATTTTAAGGTGTCTCTTACAAATTCATTTGAATCAGGAACTCTATAATTAAGATCTAACTCTCTCAGTTCAGTCAAATAGTATGTCTACCTAGAGATTGTGTAATTCATGTTCTCCATTTCATAAATGTCAGTTGGTGCCAAAGGTGCCATTTAATTTAATTTTATTTTACTTTATTTGTACTGCAGGTCAAACCAATGGCTTTGTATATGTCAAGCATATATTGTACTACTGAGCTATACCCCCAACCCATAGGTGCTTCTTTTTAAAAAATCAAAACACGTTGGCGTCTCAATAGAAATGTCATAAAGAAATAAGTGTAATATGGTTTATGCCTGAGCTCATGTCTCTTCCCTTCAAAATGATCAAATAAAATCAAGATCAGAGATATTGACTAGAGTTCATATTATGACATCCATGATGTCACTTCTGTATTGCCTATTAAGATTCCTAACATGGACTCAAATTCCATTTTTATTTACTATGCTTCATCTATGAAGCATATTCATCTCAATAGAATTACTACACAATTAGCCATAAATTTGCTTCATTCCATTAAATCAAGGTCCTAAGCATTTTTTCTGTAATTATTATCTATTTTCCAGTATTTGTCCAGTAACTGTTAAATACACACTTTTCTAGAAATAAATTTTAATTTACTTATATCCAAGCATCACCTACCCATACTGTATAACGAGGCTCCAAATCACCACAATCCTTTGCAAAAATATATGAACAGTTTCCTGGGAAGTAATAGTATATACCATCAAATGTTTCAAAATGATACTGTCCCCAGGTTTTGCAAATCCCATCTCTTCCACTGCCCATGTTTGGGACTGAAAAAAAATAAGATGATGTTTAGTGTAATAAAACAAATGACACCCATTTCTAGTAATATTCAGACACAGTAGGATCTTCTAATTTTCATCGACATAAATATTTTCTTTGGTGGTCTACATCACAGGAAGAAATACCTAGCAGGAAATTGCCAGGTGCTCTCGAAACTATCAAACTCCTTGAAGCAAAACAGGGTCTCCAGACTTTGTAAAGAAAGGATTTATCATAGAGACTTCCTTAAGTTTTGCTTCCAAAGAAAGACTCTAGGAGAAAGAAAAAGTAGGGAAAATGACAAATAAAAAGAAGGTTATGATAATAAAACAAATAAGGAGCTCAGAAAAGAAAAATAATGTCACCAAGTATTAAAAAAAATCACAATAGGAGGCATTAAAGAGTTCCAGTCTCCATGATTCTTTCAAAAATATCCTTATGATATACAAAGAGAAAAATAGTGACAAAAGTCACATTTCTATGTCTGGGAACTGAGGTTGGAGAGCATTAGTCATTCAATGTTACTGGAATTTAGGAGATCATGACATCAACCTGGCCAGATTTCAAGCACTATTCATCTTAAATCAGACAACTTCATCCCCTATATCATCATGCCTACCCTTGCAGATAACCCGCTCTTTAATTTTTATTTTCTGGACAATTCGCTTCAGCATAATGTAGAAATCAATAACATTTACTGAGCACTCAATTTGTGTAAAATGTTTTCATAAACTCTATGGAGAGCATAAAGATAAAGGACAATCTTTGGTGTCTTTTCTTTTTGTAACTTTTATTTACATTTATTGAAAACTTAAGTGGCCAATTTAAGTGGGAACATAGGAATATCTATTTTCTTTTGGCCAACTTTGACCTTTTCAGGAAAAGACACAGTGATTCATTTTTGACAAAGTCTTTCCAGATGGTACACATTACTCCCAGGGCATATTTTTATGGCATCTTGTACTTTTCTTTATAGCGCACATCACAAGCTTATTTATTATGTATCTATTGCGTATAGGTTCCCTTGTCTGGACTGAAACCTCAAGAAGGCAGGAACATGTCTATCTCATTCCCCAAGGTGTCTGGTAGTGCCAAGGCTGGTCCAGTACATGCTCAATGACTACTGAGTACACAAATGAATATTTGTCCATCATTGCAACGGAAGATCCTATCTTACACACTATAGACAAAAATATTTAAAAGAAAAAAAACTCTTCTGTCCTTGAAGAAGTCTCAGTACTATTTCTATTTTATGTGCACAATACCCAATTAATTCAAAGTCAAAAAGAATCCATGGCTCCAAATAATGGATGTAATTTACAAACTAAAAAAGAAATGAGTAAGAACCAGATCGTAATGAGCTAGTAGTATATAAAGTGGAAAAATACCTGAAGAAATAATCACCATCAAAGAAAAGGGAAAGTGGGCATAGCTACTTTCTTTCTCAGTGTTTCTCAATTACCTCAAATTACTAAAAATGAATTCTGAACCTCGTAGTTAATACACAATACAATTGTTCCAACTCCCAAGGGATAAACACTACTGTAGCAAATTATGCCTTAATGTTCTCTTCAGTGTCCCATAGCTCTCTCATAAATATCTCTGAAACTTACCAATTTGGCACCTTGTCCCAAGAGCCTGAAATATTTGACAATCACATGTACCAGTCTTAGAACAGAAAGCTCCGTTAAGGCATTCATAAGGACAAGAACCTGAGGGACAAAATAATAAGTTATCTTCTGGCATGCATCACTTCTTATAAACATAATATGTCAGGATCTAGCTTGGACTAACTGTAACCACTATTAATTTAAACAGAACCTTTGGACTCTTGCCTCATGGAGCTGAAGAATTAAACCCAGCAAATCTCTATCCAGTTCATTTCATTATGTGTGCTGTGAAGCAAGAAGGACAGGTTTTTACATCTCAAACTACTCTGAAAGCAAAAGTTAGCCTTCCCTGAATAATTGAAAGGTCAAGTTCCCATGTAGGGACTCCTGTCCCCAATGACAAGAACCAGAAATACACAAGCTACAGATGATTACGTTGATAGAGTTTGGCAGCAACTGCACGCCGGATGGGCTCCTCCAGGAGCAGGCAGTGTACTAAATCTAGAGTCCATCACTAACTTTGAGGGATCAGGCAAAGTATGAAACTCAAAAGGAAGCTCCCACTCTTGAAGAGAATGATTAAACATTTCATTTGAATTTATCTCTAATCCTCAGGCTAGATTACAAATGATGCAAACTTTGAAACCTAATACTTAACATGGAAGAAGCAGAAGCCAAGTCATTTCTGATTGCCACCAAAAACATTCTTGCTTTCATAGAAAGAAAAATTGCCACAAAGAATTGCATTATAAAGAGGAAGCAAATAACTATGATTTCTAACCTTAATTTTGCCATCATCTCCTAAGTGACTTTTAAAAATGCAAACGACTCACAATGAAAATTTTTCTTCCATTAAAGAGATGACAAGAGGCAACTGCTGAAGCTCAACCAAGAAGGATTTAGGTAACACATCAGGGGAACTACAAAATATCTTTGAGTCACCATAAAGCATTACTAAAGAAGTAATACTGTCTGGAATATGTCAAGTTCTTGGAAGACATTTATCTAATATCAATAATTTACCCAAAGTTCTGCCAAAGAAAAAAATGAACAAATCCTATTATTCTTTTTCACCTTAATATCCATTGATGTCTCTTTACATTTCAAAATAGATAAATCTTAGGCAAATCCTAAGTGAGAAAAAATGAGCTATTTTAATTTAAGCTACAAATACAAGTGAAATATCATGGATTTAAAATCAGTTTTTCATGAAGGGATACATATATCTTTATATCTTATATCACAGCCTTACACTTTTCTAATGAATAGATAGCTAAATATTTAGATAAACAAATTTTATTTACACTCCTGCTTATTCTCTTGGAAGAATAAAATCAAACCAAACTGGTGAGGATCATTGTTATTCTCAACATAAGAATTTCTATGTTTTAGATAGCATTCAAAATAAATTTTAAACCACAGTCAGCATTTTGCTTAATGGAAATGAGAAATTGGTATTTTTTTAAAAGGGATATCAAGAAACCAAGGAACAAGTAACTAGTTCAGAAAAAAATGGTTTCTGATAGCAAGTCATATCTTCCAAGGTCAATCTTTGTCTAAATGTTTATCTCTGGTTATTTGTAAAAATAACTTGAATTCCTATAGGAAGCAAAATGAAATTATTACTATTATTACTACCCTAGCTCAGTTTCCTCCATGAAGTACATGGAAGCAATAAAGAACTAATTCAGTATATCTTTCAAAGGAATCTTTGGAAAAAAGAAAAACAAAGCTCAGGTATAGGCACTGACCTTTTATTTTGCTCTCACCCCAATTAATAGCTTCATGGAAAAAATATCTAGGAGAAGTTGCTTCAATCTTCAAAAGAGAGAAATAGGACTTCAAAATAGTTAAAGTGTTTAATTCAAGTTAAACATGCAAATATAAAAATCTGGAAATTAACTCCATATATATAAATTATACAGTGCTGACTTGTATTTCCTTAGATCATGGAGTCTAACACGATGAGCCAGAAAGGGCTCCTCTGCCTGGAGGTTGGAAAACTGAGTTTCAAGTCTTTGTTTTGTCTCTTCCATGACTGCCATCTGCCTTCTCTGCTCTCTGTCCTCATTTCCCTTCCTCCTTCCCCTGCTCACACTATTGAGAAAGGAGGCTGGCCGGCTCTAACCTTTGGATTAACAGACTGATTTGCCTGCAGACACGGCAATTTTCTGACATTTCCAGGTGCAAGTGGGTCTGGAGAAATGCATGGGGCTAACAGACCAACAGCCTGTGATGCCCTGGCAGCCTGAGCACCAGACTATGAAGACGCCACTATCAGAAGCACCTGAGGTGTTTCAGGGTCAGATTGTTACCTTCAGCACTAAGGGGCTGACATTTCAAAGTTCATCACAGAAGACTTAAATGTGTCTCTTTTTAAGCTAGGTCCAAGAAGAGGTTATGAGCATGAATTACAGAATCAAACAGACCTGGATTAGAGTCCTCGTTCTGTCATTGTTTCTACTAGGCAGCTTTCCTAACCTGTCAGTTCCTGTTTCTTCATCTACAACAACAGCACCCACTTCCTTGTGTAATATAGGGCCTTACACAAAAAATTGGAAATGAAGAGATTTATGTTAATCTAAGCAACCCTTACAAAAATTTAAGATTCATGACAGTGGCAAACAATTGCCGATTACTGAAACTAATCAATTATAGATTATTATTCCCACTCAATGCCAATTGAGTGTGTATCCTTTCCAGTAGCACTTTGATGTTCATCGGAAAAAGAACACAACCCAAATTTGCCACATAATTATCAAATTGAGTAGTTGATGGTGTTAGAAAAACTGACAAGGACAAAGGATAAGAAAGAAAGGAGGTAAGGATGTGACGTGAGGAATAAAGGCCTTTCTCCACAGAATCTGTTCACCCTCCTACATGCACAATTTTATTTTGACATTTTCTTTCCACCCCAGTACTTTGTTTCAACAGTAAAACCCACTCCACGCCACATGAAACTATTGTTATACTGTCTCACCATTCTTAACTCTTTACCCCATACCATAGCTCCCAATTCATTGTTTCCGGCTCTCAATGCTTGCAGATACCATTCTTGTTATTCAATCTCCTCTACTGATCTTTGTCTCTGCCTTTAAACTCCCAACAGTCTGACTTTGATTCCATCAAGACAGCAAATCTTATCATTTCATCCACTATGTTGTTGCTGGTTACCTAAATCTAACATAGTCATCAATATTATTGGGTCCCAACATCCTCCTACTATGCTCTGTAATGATTTATGGGGATCCCTTTGGCGGAAGCCAGTCAGTCCACTCTGATGTTTATCAAAAAGGTATAGCAACTTCAACTCTGCCTCATACTCACTTGTAACCTTGAACAAATTATTCTGCTTGGTCTCAATTTCCCAATTAAAAAAGGAATAATGGCAACTGCCCCTCAGAATTGAGAAGATTAAGTGACAAAAGTAACAATATGTCAAGAATAGCACCTGACATACAGTAAGGGTTGTAAACATGCTACTTGTTTTTATTACTAGGCAAAAACTAAAATGAAATACATTGGATGACACTAGTCCATGGTAAAATATATAATTTGTTTCCAGCTTCAGTTAACCCCCACTGCCTTAATGGAAATTACAGTGACTGCGTATGGCACTCACTTCCTGTTTACCCCAGCATCTATCCTATTTACCCAGCATCACAACACACTGCACCAACACAAAGACATGACACTCAGCTTGTTTTTAAAATATATCTGACCTTAGAATGGCATCTTACATTGATAATTGGGACCATTTTTATTTTTATGTCACATAGATGATGGCAAATAATTGGTATCTTACTCAGTGAACCAGATACACAGAAATGACTTCTTCATAGGCTTATTTCTACTAGATCTGGAGTTTCTAGATAATAAACACTGCTATTCTTGTTTATATCTCTAGCACGATTCTGGTGTGTCAGCAACAAATTCCAGCTGAACTGGAAAAGGACATTGTCCAAATGAGCATCTGCCTGCCGGGCGTGTTTAAAGCCATGACCGGAGCAGACTATTGATGCCCTTTTCAGCCCTCCTTGAGTTCACCTCAGAATTCATTTGAGTTTCTGTGTACTTTAAAAGCCTCCAACCTCAAGCCTCACTTTTTTCCATATCTGCCTCAGGGCGAAGTCCAAGCAGGACAAATGACAGGAAGTATCTTTGTTGCCCTCCAGAGGCCTCTTTTGCCCAGTGAGAAACAAGGATTAATAGATAAATATTCCAGCTTTTCCATCTCTTGCAGAAATGATTGTAGGACACATGCTGCACAATTCCTCATAGAGTCCCCAAACAAGGATTTTCAACCTTCCTCCTCCCACTTTTGTCTAACCCTCCTTTATGTGCTTCCCTGAAAAATAACCTGCACCTAAATCTAGGGTATGATTCAGTGCTTGCTTTCAGGTGAAGAGTTGTTGAAATGGAATACAGATGCAAAAACCTTTGTCTTTCCACAGCATAACTAATAAGAGAGGACAGCTATTTTTCCTCCTTCCCAATTTCATCTCCACAGATGAGTGAGCAGCTCAGACAAATATAGTCCTCAGGCAGGAAATCACTGTGACACATACATACACCGTTTCTGGTAGACTGTACCTATCCATTCCTTGCTCATCTCATTGCCAATATATTTCTGAGTCCTTACTTGCACAGTTATCTATCTGTTGATGCTGTTTTCTTACAGCAGGGGAGTCAATCTGTTCAAGTGAATGGTTTTATCACACACAGTACTCCCATTCTAAACAACTCTGTGTATGTTTAAACCTCACTGTCCTTTAACATTTCTTTTTAAAATTTTTATATAAATTTGTCCATATGAATTTTTTCATAGAAATTTGGCACATGTTCCCTAGCTACAAGAAGTAGAGGTGCAAGCTTCCTGGCTTTTATTCTAAAATGGAAGTCAAGGCAAGGTAAGTAAATTCCTCATTTAGTAACAGAAGAGAGGTATTACTCTTAGTCTTTTAGGGTAAAGTATATACATCCTAAAAATACCTAAATCCACAGTAGGCTAATCTCATCCAATAAGGCACTTTATGCAATACGTTTGGTGTGTATTTAACAGGTTCCTCAGTCTAGTGGGTCCACCAGAATGTGCTTTTCTCAAAATCAGATTTTCTGATAAATCATGCAGATGGGTCTTTTTTTTGGTTAATATGTTCTATTAGCAACATATTTATAGTTTCTCAGAGAAAATTACTTTAACCATATCATATGATGCATAAGTTCCTATGCGCATAAAACAGTCTCTTTTAAAATGAAAAATCTTGTTTCTATTCCACATAAAATCCTTTTCCATTCTTGTACAAAAAAAGATCTCCACTCTTGATGAGAATTATTTCTGTCTTCTAAACTATCAAAGTAGCATATCAAATCTGTCTTCCATTCATGTACCAATTCTCTTCAGTTTACACCATAAAATATACAAATTCAGGCATCCATTAGAAAATACTAGTAGAAATTATTTGCACTTCAGCATTTGTCAAAAGCTTACTTAAATATTTATGTTGTTTGTCATATGAACGTTCAAAACATATTACTTGCTAAAAAATAACTCTACTAAGTTAGAATTTTCTATATTGCCATCTATCTTTCATACAGAAATATTTTCTAAAACCCATTCATTTGAATATTCCAGGAATATATGCTATCCAATATTCTTTATATAAAAGAAACCAGGGGGAAAGTCTCCTCAAATTCAATGCCATTCTGCCTTTCATACCTCTTCAGAGATGCTCATAATTTCTATTTTTTCAGAAAACATGAACGCTGTCTCTCAGGACACCAGAATACATATCTGATGCCCTTCTGCAGCATTTAACTCATATCATTTCCACCTATCTCAGCCCCTTCTCACATATATTTTTTATTGCTATTGTCCTAAAGAATATCATGCTTAATTTCTAAACCAATTTGAATTTTTTAGCAAGTAGATGGGATTAAATCTTCCGTAAGTTCTTCGAGCCTGTCAGTAGATACATAAGATAAACAGCACACACAAAAAAAGTATTCCACTCTGTGAACAGGTTGATGTGAAAGGAACAAGAACTTGAAGGTTGCAAAAAGACAGCAGAGCATTTACTTTGCCACTTCTCCTCCTTCCTGTCTCGTTTCTAGCATTTTTCTCCCCTCCACAAAGGTCTCATTGTTGGAGTGAAAGCGGAGTCCAAAGAAGAATGGGTTATTTCTCTGCTTCCCTCTCCCTCTGAGACATAACCTACCTGTGCTGCTAAAAGAGCTCTTTTCTGTCGATTTTCATTAAACTCATTTCTGGAAGAAAACAAAAAGAACTTGTATGGTTAGAGGTCCCTAGGCAACCCGAACAAGCCTTTCCCAAGAGAGAGCTGGTGTTTTCCTCCTGATTTCCATCACTTTATCAAAGAGGTCTTTCTTGGTTTAACAGTTAAAAGGTCTCCCTCCCCTTCTTGAAAGGGTTAGATTTGGGTGGTAGAGCTGTCTCATTTTACAAAATTTGGGAGTGTCCCCAAATCTCTCCAGTCTCTGATGTAAACTGAATTTTAGGAAGGAACTTGGAGATAGAAAATAAACAAGATAATGTAACATTGTATCCCCAACCCACATATTTTCTCTACATGACTTCATAAATCTGATGAAGAAAGCATTTGCCAAGAATATGCTCGCTTTTTTCAAACATAATACTAAATCCCTGCCTGTTCCATGTTATAAAGAATAAACATTAATGAGTAAAGACATCAAATTGTAATTTATCAAAATCAAAATGGTTAATAATTCACTAGGGTATACATTTGTCCTATAGTCTTTTATATTTTGTGTTATATTATCAATAGCAATATTATTAAAAAGTCAAATGGTAAATATAATTCTGCTTTTTATTAAGCAGATTAAATTACTCTAAAAGATTTTTATTATTTACTGCTAAACCACTTTACTCTTTTTATCATTGAAAACTGTTTTACTCTATATTGAGAATATAGACTTTTGTAATCAATAATGTATATTAATAACAATCTAAAGGTGTATATCACTGAATATAGCTTCTATAAAAACTTTTGAAATG